GAGAGAGAGGAACAAGCAGACTCCCGGCTGAGCAGGGAACCCGATGTGGGGCTCGATCCCCGGACCTCGAGATCATGACCTGAGCTGAAGTCAGATGCTCAAACGACTGAGCCACCCAGGTGCCCTTGAACTGTGTACTTTAAATGAGTGAATCGTCTGGTATGTAAATATATCTCAAAGCTGTTAAAAAAAATGAAGGCCAAATAAATACATTTTCAGATACAAGAAAACTGAAAGTTCATTGTTGGTAGACCTACGTTATAATGAAAGCCAAGGGAAGTTCTTCAAGCTGAGGGGAAATGATACCAGAGGGAAATTCAGATCTTCAGGAAAGAATGGAGAGTATCTGAAATAGTAAATTGCTGTGTGAATACGAAAGGTTTTTTTCCCCTCTTATTTCTTTAAAATACTTTTGACTGTTGAAAGCAAATATTAGAAACTTGTGGGATTTATAATGTATTTAGATGCAATGTGTATATTACAACTATAGGGTGAAGGATGATGGTTCTTCTATCCGAGAAGATAGAATATTAACTCTAAGTAGGCTCTGAAAGGTTAAGGATATATATTCTAAGCCTTAGGGCAAGCATTAAAAATAATACAAAAAAGCATAGCCAAAAATACAATAAATAAGTTAAAGTGGGGTCTAAAAAATAATTAAATTATCCAAAAGAAGGCAGAAAAGGAGGAACAGATGAAGGTAATAATTTTGAAAGCCAGAGGGAAAAACTGAGATGTATAAAACAAGCACTTTTAAGGGACAACACATAAATTGAGTTTCTGAAAAACCTTTTGCACGGGGATTGGCACCGTCCAGAGCATAGTAAGGCAGATTATCTCAGCTGTGTTCCTAGTCAGCTCTGCAGAAAGAGGGTCAACAGAAGCACAATGCAGGGGCAAATAAAGTGGACAGAATATAGAAGAGTCTTCTTGACTGTGAAGACTTTGATATCTGCAGAAGTGTTGTAACACAAGAAAGTTTTGAATCTCCACCTCTGGGGAAGAAGCAGGTATCCCCTCAGTGGTGTGCCCGGGAGATTGGGGAGGATATGGCCAGGTCACTCCCCGGGTTTTGTCTGTAGCAACTACCTCGGGCAGGAAGACACCTGCCGCTGTCAGGTTCAGTTGTCAGCTACTCCCTGGTAGCATCCCACAAGGTTCTCTCCCCAGCCCTCCTCTCTTTTTTGCACCCAACGCTTCCAGTGCAGATGCCTCCAGGAGCCAGGAAGATGAAGTGAATGATGTAAGGCAGTCTGGCAGGCACTGTGGCAAACTGCACGCAGAGCATGTGCTCCCCGTGGCAGAGACATTTACTGCTTACCCGATGGCAGTGAGCGCCCTGTTTCTCAGCCCCCTGCTGGAGGGTATGTGACTAGATGAGGCAGAGGGACTGTCAGTGGAAGTAATCTATCTCACATCAGGTGGGAGGCACGGAGAAGCTACTGAGTAGTCTGATCTGAAGAGCCCCTGCTCCCTGCCAATCATGAAGAACACAAGGTGGGATAGAGCCAGGAGGTGTGAGCAGCCTGGACCCTGAGTCGTCGCTAGGAGGGAAACCGCCCTGGAGAGGGGCCCAGTTCACCCTGGACTTTGCTTGAACAAGAAACAAATCTTCATTCTGTTAAGGCCCTTCTATTTCGGTATTGCAGCCCAGCCTACCCTATACACTGCCTTTAAAGGCAGCAGCTACGACTCAGCCCAGATTCTTACTATCAGGTAAAATGTGGGCATCAGCTAGATCTTCCAGTTTTTACAAGATAAGCCAGAAATAAGCTTTTTTGTGTGTGTGTGTGTGTGAAAATTCCAACATTTGAAAGTGGACTTGGGGATGCCTGGGGGGCTCAGTCAGTTAAGTGTCTGCCTTTGGCTCAGGTCATAATCTCAGGGTCCTGGGATTGAGCTCCATGTCGGACTCCTTGCGCAGCAGGGAGTCTGCTTCTCCTTCTCCCTTTGCTCCCCGCTCATGCTCTCTCTCTCTCTCTCTATCTCCAATAAATAAATAAAATCTTAAAAAATAAAAGTGGACCTAATTTGAACAATTAAAACACTGTGTAGCCCAAATAAAACATATCTGGGGGACAATTTAGCCCCCGGGGGCACTAGTTGCAACTTGTGGTGAACATTTTCTTTCTTTTCTTTTCTTTTTTTTTTTTTAAGATTTTATTTATTTGAAAGAGAGAGAGAGGGAGAGAATGGGAGAGTGAGCGAGCAGTGGAGGGAGAAGCATAGGGAGAAGCAGACTCCCCACTGAGCAGGGAGCCTGATGCAGGACTCGATCCCAGGACCCCGAGATTATGACCTGAGCCGAAGGCAGATGCTTCACCGACTGAGCCACCCAGGCGCCCCTGTGGTGAACATTTTCTTCCTAGTGACTCATCAATTCCCAAAGCTTCTGTTGTCACTCCTGTTCAGATGGGGCAAAGACCATATCTTTGTATCACAGCTCTTGATGAACTCAATAGATGCCTCCAAGTCTGGGTTTCTCACCTTGGCCTAAATTCTGGGGGGCAGCTCTAGGTGTTCTGTAAGCAATCTGTCCTATCAGGCCCCCTATAGCTAACACCCCATAGATTCAACCTTGTAAAAGGCCTAATGGTTCTCTCTCGTGGTCTTGACCCTATCTCCTTTTCCTGACATTTTTCGTCTTCAACCTAATCATTTCTTTATTATTTCTGACCTAATGATTTACTTTCCATTTGTGGCCTCACATTGTGCTCCTCGTACCTGACACTTGTGCTTCTCCATTAAACTTTTTTTTCCTCTCAGTTGCTTTTTTTTTTTTTACTCTTTGGAAATTTGAATTCTGCCTTCCTCTGCCCTGTGTGTTTGCTCTGGACTAGTCCTGGATTTTCAATGATCTCTTAGACATCTTAAATTCAAACTGTCCCAGGTTGAACACACTCATTTTTCTATCCCAACTTCCCTATCTCTGTTAATGGGACTACTGTCTTCCAAGTCACAGTCTCAAATCCTTGGTATCATATTAACCTTCCCATCCCAAACCAACCCAAATATTCATTGAGTATTCATACTGTGTGCCTTGTTCTGGGCAATGGGGACACAATGGTGAACTTAAAAAAAAAAAAATCTGTGTCTTTACAGAGCTTACATCCTATTGGAAATGGACAGACAATAAACAAATATATATTAGGTCAGATAGTGATAAGTACCATGGAGAAAAATAAAGCAAGATCAAAGGGCTAGGGGGGCCCATGGTGGGGAAGGGTGCTATTTTATGTTTGGTAGCCCTGGGGATTTGAGTAGAGATGAAGGAAATGAGGAAGGAAGATGACAGGAGTCTGGGAAAAGTGTTGCAGAGCCAGAGAGCCTGAGGTGGAGGTGTGCCTGGTGTGTTTGGGGTCCAACAAAGAGACCACTGTGGCTGGAACTGAGTGGGTAAGGGTGGTGGGGGTTGTTGACCACCTACCCCATCCTTCCCTCCCCATCCATCCTTACTGCCTCTGCTCTCACATGGTGCCTGAAGCAATCTTCCTAAAACTGAGCTCTGTGATGGCTAATTTTATTGTGTCCCCTTGACTGGGCTACGGGATGCCCAGAGAGCTGGTAAAACATTATTTCTGGGTGCTTCTGTGAGGGTATCTCTGGAAGAGATTAGCATTTGGATTGGTAGAGTGGGTAGAGATCACCTTCACTGATGCTGGTGGACATCATTCAATCTACTGAGGGCTTAGATAGAGCAAAAATGCAGCTGGATGGACAAATTTGCTCTCTCTGCTGGTGCTAAGTCATTCATCTACTCCTGAATTCAGACGTCTGTGCTTCTAGTTCTCAGCTTTTGGACTCAACTGAATTACACCACCAGCTTTCCTGGTTCCCTAGCTTACACATGGCAAATCGTGGGACTTCTCAGCGTCCGTAATCATGTGGGACAGTTCCTAAATAAATCTCCTCTCTCTCTCCCTCTCCTCCGTCCCCTCTCCTATTGGTTCTGTTTTCTCTGGAGAAATATAATACACATCCTATCTCTTTCCAAGGCACTAGTCCCTAGCTTTGAAAGCACTTAGTAATCTGCCTTCAGCTTGCTTCTCTAACCTTATCTATCACTCCCAACTTCTGCCTTGCCCTGAGATTTCCCAGTGTTACTCACTGTTCCCTTCACTTAGAATAGCCTGTACCTTCTCAGTCTTGCCAGATCATTTGCAGGAGAAGCCTACCTACTCCAACTGGTGTCCCAAGACATCATCTTGGCCTGGTCTCCTATTTAATTGTGTATTTAGTTTATTTCATCTTCCTAATTTTAAACTCCAGGAGCTATTTTATACATGTTTGTGTTTCTTCTCTTCCAAGACCATGTACCCTGTAATCTTCTTTTTGATGAGAATTTCTGCTTGAGGGGTATAGGTGGTCATCCCCCCACCCCCCAAATACAACCTGCACTATGAAAGATGGTATAGTTCCCACGCCCTGGGTTGGTGATTGTTAGTCAAAGGAGAGACGCATGAGGACTTTGGCTAAAGATTTGCCATGTAGTGTTTTAAACCTGAACCCACCTCTGGAGCCAGGCAGGAGGGCAGTCTGGGGTTGTTTGCTAGGACAGCCTTGTTTGACAGCGCAGGCTCAAGTTCTTGTTCTTTCCTTCTCACTTACCAGGTCAAACTTTAAAAAATTTATTTATTTATGTATGTATGTATGTATTTATTTATTTATTTGAGAGACAGAGTGTGTGCATGGGGGTGGGGCAGGAAGAGGTGGAGGGAGAAGGAGAGTGTCTTATGCAGATTCCATGATGAACTTGGAACCTGAAGTAGGGCTCGATCTCATGACCCTGAGATCACGACCTGAACTGACATCAAGAGTCAGACACTTAACCAACTGTGCCACCCAAACACCCCCAGGTCAAACTTTTTAATGCTGAAGTGTGTTTGAGAAACAACTAAAGGCCAGACCCCTGCCCCTCAGGAGTTTACAAATCTATGGTTAGTTGTGTGCTCTTGGTAGGTACTGATAAATAATTCGCCTGATTAATGTTTTTATTGTAGGTCTGTGGATAAATGAGAAAGGAATCGTGAAGTACTCTCTAATAGACAAATCAAAGGTAATGGTAAGGGGCAACTGGGTGCTCAGTCGGGTAAGCATCTGACTCTTGATTTCTACTCAGGTCATGATGTCAGGCTGGTGAGATTGAGCCCCACATCAGGGGCTTTGCTCTGGGTGTGGAGCCTGCTTAAGATTCTCTCTCTCCCTCTCCCTCTGCCCCTCCTCCCCTCTTAAAAAAAAAAAAAGGTAAAGATAAATGCAATAGGGGAAGGACCTGGGATGAACTCATCAAGAGCCTGGTCAAGTTATACTCTTCCCACCTTGACCTTGCCTTGCCTGGTTTGGTCTCCTCCCCCTTCTCTTTCCTTCTGCAAATCTTGCCCATCCTTCGAGGACCAGCTAAGAAACCACTCCTCCTCTGGGAAGCCTTTCTGGATTACTCCAGACTCCAATAACCTGTTTTAAATACCAGAATTAATAACCTGTAATGTACAGTGCAGAGCTTAATGATGTATTGGAACTCTTTGCTTCTGTGTTGTGTGATTTCCCAACTAAAGTCTAAGTCTTGTAGGGGTGCCTGGGTGGCTCAGTTGATTAAATGTCTGCCTTTGGCTCAGGTCATGATCCCAGGGTCCTGGGATCGAGCCCTGAATTGAGCCCCATCGGGTTCCCTGCTCAGAGGGGAGTCTGCTTCTCCCTCTCCCTCTGCCTCTTCCCGTACCCCCCCCTTGCTCGTGTTCTCGCTCTCAAATAAATAAATTTTAAAAAATCTTTAAACTCTAAGTCCTTTGAATAATAAAAAAATAACAACAATAAAGCAGCTGGTATTTATTAAGCATTTATTATGAGGTTTGTACTGTGATAATAATACATCTATATATTTTCATCTAATTTCATGCCCTCAAAATCTAATTTCATGCCCTCAACAATCCTGTGGGGAGGTATGGTTATTATCGCCATTTTATAGATGAGGAAATTGTTGTAGGATAATTTTCTTTTTCTTTTTTTTTTTTAAAGACTTTATTTTTTTATTTGACAGAGAGACACACAGAGAGAGAGGGAACATAAGCCGGGGGAGTGGGAGAGGGAGAAGCAGGCTTCCCGCTGAGCAGGGAGCCCAATGTGGGTCTCGATCCCAGGACTCTGGGATCATGACCTGAGCCAAAGGCAGATGCTTAATGACTGAGCCACCCAGGCGCCCCGTGGGATAATTTTCAAAAAGGTAAAACAATGATTTTTGCACAAACATAAAGTGAGCACCCATTGAAGATTTTATTTAACTCATTAATTAAAGAGGAAACGTGCAATTTGTTAAAACTGATTGCAAGGAGGATCTAAAGAGCAAACATTTATAGACAGTCAGGAATGCCAAAATAATTTTGCTAATAGGTACAAAACTGGTTAATATCCTATAGGTATTAAAATGTCATATTTGGAATCATCTTCTCTACTGGACAGAAGCCATTTTTATCTCATTAGACAAAGTTAATTTGCATTTCTATGGACAAAAATAATTTGCATTACTATCGGTTTTTCCAGTTTGCAGAGCTATAAATTAGTCTACTCAGAAATGATCAAAGGTTATGCTGAACACACAGATTATCTTCTTGGTATATCTGAAAATAAGATGTTGAAGGTCTATGAAAAATCTTGAAAATAAACTATTTCTTAAAAAAATTTAAAATATTTTGATTTATTTATTTGAGAAAGAGAGAGAGTGAGCAGGGTGGGGGTAGGAGCAGAAAGAGAGGGACAAGTAGACTGTACGCTGAGCATGGAGATTGACAGGGGGCTTGATCCCACAACCCTGAGATCATGACCTGAGCCGAAATCAAGAGTCCCACACTTAACCAACTGAGCCATCCAGGTGCCTCTAAAATAAACGATTTTTATAAACTTAAAAATAAAGGCACAGAATCAAACAACGCTGGAGGGTTCCTCGACAAAGCCCAGCATTCCACTGAAAAGTACTCTGTAAACTTTTGCTCATTTCAAAGTCTTTCAGGGCTTTTCCTGCATAGCCTAGGTCTGAGAGTTCTTTTATACTTCAGCATCTAGTGCGTATCAGGTGTTCAGTAAGTGCAGACTGGTAACTGATGAGGATTATTGAGTGATGGAGTATAAAGCTTGTGATTGGAAAGCATGACCAAAACATTAGCTCCTTTATCAAGAGGTAGCATCTAGGGGCACCTGGGTGGCTCAGTAGGTTGAGCATCTGCCTTTGGCTCATGTCATGATCCCAGGGTCCTGGGATTGAGTCCCGAGTCAAGCTCCCTGCTCAGCGGGGAGTCTGCTTCTCCCTCTCCCTCTGTTCCCCCCAACTCATGCTCTTTCTCACTCTCAAATAAATAAATAAAATCTTAAAAAAAAAAAAAGAGGTAGAGTCTACTTTCCTACTCCTTGAGTCTGGAATTGCCTTGTGACTTGCTTTGGCCAACAAGTATGTCAGAAATGACAGTGTATGGGAGCACCTGGTTGGTGCAGTCGGTTAAGCATCCAGCTCTTGGTTTTGGCTCAGTCATGACCTCAGGGTCATGAGGTTGAGCCCTATATCTGGCTCCATGCTCAGCAGGGAGTTTGCTTGAGACTCTCTCTCTCTCCCTCTTCCTCTGCCCCTCCCCCTGCTTGTTCTTTTTATTTTTATCTCTCTCTCTCCCTCAAATAAAATCTTAAAAAAAAAAAAAAAGAAAAAGAAATGACAGTGTATGACTTCTGGAGTCCAGACTTCCAGAGACCTCACAGCTGCCACTTTCACTCTCTTGGGACTTGCTGTTATTATGTAAGGAACCCAGGGTATTCCAACTGGAGAGCCGTATGGAGGAGAACCAAGGCACCTGGCTGACAGCTCCAGCTAACCACCTCTGATGTGCATGAGGCCATCTTGGACCATCCTGGCCCAGATGACTGCAGACACAATGAGCATCTCCAGGTGAGACCAGCAGAACTGTGCAGCTGAGCCCAGTTAAATGGCAAAGTTGTGAGCTAATAAATGGGTATGGTTTCAAGCCTCATAAGTCTTGGGTGTTTTGTTATGCAGCAATGGCTAACCTGCGCAGGGCTGTCTGTGTAGTCATAGAATGTCAGCCAGGGGCAGGGGACAAAGGTTTCTTCTTTGGGGATATGGGTTGCTCACCATGGTTGAATTTCATGGCTCAGCTGTCCAGTCCCCCAGCGGTTGGGACCCTGGTGCCGCTCCTGGAAGGAAGTGTCACTATCTGGGTATATGGTTTGGCTCCAAACCTTCTAGGTGCCCATGCAGCCCCTTTGACAGGCTCATTCTCTGCACTGGGCTCAGGCTCGAAGAGTCAACCCTCTGCAAAAGAAGAGAGGCAGCAAACAAGCAGCCCTCTTCTAGGAACTTAACATCTGAACAAGGACAGGTATGTCCAAATTAAAGTACGAAGTTACCCCATCATCGACATCCGCCCCTCCTTTCCTTGAATCTGTATGCCATTTTAGCTTCCCAAACCTCTTTCTACTTAGCTTGTTTCAGTCCCAACATAGCCCAGTGAATAAGAGGGACAGGTGAGGAAATCAAGAGACTTTCCCAGCACTACGAAGCAGCTTAATTGTGGGACGAATCCAGGCCTCCTGCTGGAGTGCCCAGTGGCCCAGTGCTGGGGACTTCCCTGAGCAGCTTCCATGGGCAGCCCTCTCTCTTTGGGGGTCTTCAATCCAGGATGCACCCTCAGGACATAGAGGAGAACACAGGATGATACCCGGGTAGCAGTGTGGTGTCAGGGAAAAGCTCTAGCAATCAGTTCTCTTAGCTCCGTCAGCTGTGGGATCTCAGGCAGTCACGCAACCTCTCTGAGTCTCAGTTTCCTGATTTGTAATATGGGGTTAAAATTATATCTACTATACATAAAAAACTATAAGTCACCTTTGCATCTGGGGTGAGGTATGGGGTGGGGCATCTGAGATAGGAGGAAGACTTAATTTTTCATTGCCTATCTTTTGTACTCTTCAACCTTGTAATTGTGATGATTAATTTTAGGTGAACTTGACTGGGCTAAGAGATGCCCACATCCATGGTGAAACATTATTTCTGGGTGTGTTGGCGAGGGTGTTTTTGGAAGAGATTGGCATTTGATTCAGTGTACGGAATAAAGAAGATTCCCCTCACCGGGACAGGTGGGCTTCATCCAATCTCTTGAGGGCCTGAGTGGAACAAAAATGTGGAGGAAGAGTAAATTTGCTCTGTTTGAACTGAGGCATCCATCTTATCCTGCCCTTGGACACTGGGGCACCTGATTCTTGGGATTTCAGTTTTGGATGAGGACTTCCACAGCTGGGCACCATTTCCCAGTTTTTTGGACTTGGACTGAATCATACCTCCGGCTTTCCTGTTTCTCCAGCTTGCAGACAGCAGACTGTGGGACTTCTTGTCCTCTACAACTGTGGGAGCCAATTCCTATTACAAATCTCCTCTTTTTTTTTTTTAAAGATTTTATTTATTTATTTGACAGAGAGAGAGACAGAGAGAGCAGGAACACAAGCAGGGGGAGTGGGAGAGGGAGAAGCAGGCTCCCCACCAAGCAGGGAGCCCAATGCTGGGCTTGATCCCAGGACTCTGGGATCATGACCTGAGCCGAAGGCAGACACTGAAAGACTGAGCCACCCAGGTGCCCCTATAAATCTCTTATGTATATCTCTATATATCCTATTGAATCTGTTTCTCTGGAGAACTCTGACTGATAAGGTAATTGTAGAACAAATATTATCAATTCAATAACTATGAATTAACCAGGGAATAAATCATTAGTTCATAATAATTCTAATTAGCCAATGAATAAATATCATATCTAAAAAAATTTGGTCTCTCCAGTGGCATACCTAGAGTATTTGACAGTCTAAAGGACAAAATTACAAAGAATCATTATTTTCTTGATTCACTTTTCAGTTTTAGAACAATTAACAATTTAAACATATTATTAAAAAATTCTCAGCTGTTACAAACTTCTCTCAGAATGCACGGGTATAGTGGAAAATGCTGGGTGTTCACCTAATTAACTTCCATATAGAATACTGTTTGCTAAAAAACAATGGAAGTGTGTTAATTTGAAGCTTACACATTTATTATCAAAACTCAACAGTAATCGTAACAATTTGTTTAGAACCTTTAGAACTTAGACCAACAAAAGATTTTCCCACGAGTATTTTGTCATGGACCTTGTTTAGAATTACCCACATATGAAGATAATAAAAAGTTAGACTTTCAGCCCGTTACACTGTTGTTTTTAAATTCCCTACAGACAATGTACCCCCTTGTTGCCTAACTCAGGGTGGACGGGTCCCATAGCTCTGCCTCCTTACATGGTCCTTGTTAGGGCACCTGGGTGGCTCAGTCAGTTAAATGTCTGCCTTCAGTTCAGGTCATGATCCCGGGGTCCTGGGATCGAGTCCCAGGTCAAGCTCCCTGCTCAGCGGGGAGCCTGCTTCTCCCTCTGCCTCCCATTCCCCCTGCTTGTGCTCATGCTCTCTCTCTCTCTGACAAACAAATAAATAAAATCTTTTTTAAAAAAAGTCATTGTTAGAGATCACATGGGATGGTATTTTCAGGGGTCTCAAGTTCAAAAGCTGTCAGGGTTCAGAGAGGAGCTATGTGAAGCGGTGTAAGTCACGGAGCACATGTCCTGCCCAGAGGCGTTCACAGGCAATTTTCCTGACAGCCTGTGACACCCACAACTAATAAACAATCCAAACTTAGGTCAGGGCTGACTTCAAAACTCTTTCCACTATGCCATTTGGCCTCACCCTAAGCCCCTAAGCCCGTTTCCTCTCCTGTAACAAAGGGCCACTATTACTCACCTATCTTGGGAAGCCTGGGGAAAATTTATTTCAAATTCGAAGCCTAGGACCTGGCATACAGTGAGCACTCAGAGTGGTAGCTCTGTATAAAATAGCTGATAAGCTGCAAAGCATTACACAAATAGTAGGTATTATTCTGAGGGACATAAACAGCAGGGTGAAAACAGCCAGCCAAGATCAAGTTTACTGATCAATGAGAATGGCAGAACTCCAGCATTAGGGGAATACAGCACATAGAATTCATGGCTTTTCCCCCCATGATTCTTTAGTCTTTCAAAGTTAATTTTTTAAATTTTCTTTTTTTTAAATTTTCTTTTGTTGTGTTATGTTAATCACCACACATTGCATCATTGGTTTTTGATGTGGTGTTCCGTGATTCACTGTTTGCGTGTGGCACTCAGTGCTCCATTTGGTAAGTGCCCTCTTTAATACCCATCACCAGGCTAACCCAGCCCCCATTTTTCTTCTTCCCTTTTTCACCAACATTTTATCAATCCCTTTTTTAAAAATCTTTTTTATTTTTCATTTTTAGAGTCATATTCTATCCCTTCATTGTAGTTAACCTTATTTTTGGTATATATATAAGTTGTTCTCTCTTTAAAATTTTGTGATACAGTTTCTTCTAACAGTCCAAAATATACCCTAAAGCTCTAGTGTATGGCTTTGTTCTAGTCTCCTGCCTGATCACATTCTCTCTCTCTCTTTTTTAAATTTCTCTTCTTTCTTTTTTCAACCAACTTATCGTATCAATTCCTTTTGTAAAATCTTTTATAATTTTCATTTTTACAGTCATATTCCATCCCTTCATTGTATTTACCCTTATTTTTGTACATATATAAGTTTTTCTTTCTTTAAAATTTTGGGAGGCAGTTTCTTCTAACAGGCCAAAATATGCCCAAAATCTAGTGTGTGGCACTGATCTATTCACCAGTCTGATCATATTTGATCATATTCTTTTTTTTTTCTTTTTCTTTTTTCTTTGTTTCCCTTTCTTTTCCCCCGGTTTCAGATCTCTTCTGATTTGTTTAGTGTATATTTTTCTGGGGCTGTTGTTACCCTGTTAGCATTTTGTTCTCTCATTCATCTATTCTACTCTGGACAAAATGACAAGATGGAAAAACTCACCTCAAAAAAAAAAAAAGAACAAGAGGCAGTACCAACTGCTAGGGACCAATCAATATGGACATTAGTAAGATGTCAGAACTAAAGTTCAGAATGATGATTATAAAGATACTAGCTGGGCTTGAAAAAAGCATGGAAGATATTAGGGAAACCCTTTCTGGAGAAATAAAAGAACTAAAATCTAACCAAGTTGAAATCAAAAAGGCTATTAATGAGGTGCAATAAAAAAATGGAGGCTCTAACTGCTAACATAAATGAGGCAGAAGAGAGAATCAGTGATATAGAAGACCAAATGATGGAGAATAAAGAAGCTGAGAAAAAGAGAGATAAACAACTACTGGATCACGAGGGCAGAATTCAAGAGCTAAGTGATACCATAAGATGAAACAATATTAGAATAATTGGGATCCCAGAAGAAGAAGAAAGAGAGAGAGGGGCAGAAGGTATATTGGAGCAAATTATAGCAGAGAACTTCCCTAATTTGGGGAAGGAAACAGGCATCAAAATCCAGGAGGCACAGAGAACCACCCTCAAAATCAATAAAAATAGGTCAACACCCTGACATCTAATAGTAAAACTTACAAGTCTCAGAGACAAAGAGAAAATCCTGAAAGCAGCTCGGGACAAGAGGTCTGTAACCTACAATGGTAGAAACATTAGATTGGCAAACAGACCTATCCACAGAGACCTGGCAGGCCAGAAAGGACTGGAATGATATATTCAGAGCACTAAATGAGAAAAATATGCAGCCAAGAATACTATATCCAGCTAGGCTCTCATTGAAAATAGAAGGAGAGATCAAAAGCTTCCAGGACAAACAAAAACTAAAAGAATTTGCAAACACGAAACCAGCCCTACAAGAAATATTGAAAATGGTCCTCTAAGCAAAGAAAGAGCCTAAAAGTAACAGAGACCAGAAAGGAACAGAGACAATATACAGTAATAGTCACCTTATAGGCAATACAATGGCACTAAATTCATCTTTCAATAGTTACCCTGAATGTAAATGGGCTAAATGCCCCAATCAAAAGACATAGGCTATCAGATTGGATAAAAAAACAAGATCCACCGATATGCTGTCTGCAAGAGACTCATTTTATTTTATTTATTTTATTTTTTATTTTTTTAGATTTTATTTATTTGACAGAGAGAGAGACAGCGAGAGAGGGAACACAAGCAGGGGGAGTGGGAGAGGGAGAAGCAGGCCTCCCGCAGAGCAGGGAGCCCGATGCGGGGCTCGATCCCAGGACCCTGGGATCATGACCCGAGCTGAAGGCAGACGCTTAACAACTGAGCCACCCAGGCACCCCGAGAGACTCATTTTAGATCCAAAGACACCCCCAGATTGAAAGTGAGGGGATGGAAAACCCTTTACCATGTTAATGGACATCAAAAGAAAGCTGGGGTGGCAAACCTTAGACAAATCAGATTTTAAACCAAAGACTATAATAAGAGATAAGGAAGGACACTATATCATAATTAAAGGGTCTATCCAACAAGATGATCAAACAATTGTAAATATCTTTGCCCCTAACATGGGAGCAGCCAATTATATAAGCCATTTAATAACAAAATCAAAGAAACACATCGACAACAATACAATAATAGTAGGGGACTTTAACACCCCCCTCACTGAAATGGGCAGATCATCTAAGTGAAAGATCAACAAAGAAATAAAGACTTTAAATGACACACTGGACCAAATGGGGACTTCACAGATATATTCAGAACATTCCATCCCAAAGCAACAGAATACACATTCTTCTCTAGTGCCCATGGAACATTCTCCAGAATAGATCACATCCTAGGTCACAAATCAGGTCTCAACTGGTACCAAGATTGGGATCATTCCCTGCATATTTTCAGACCACAATGCTTTGAAACTAGAACTCAATCACAAGAGGAAAGTCGGGAAAAGAACTTAAATACAGGGAGGTTAAAGAGCATCCTACTAAAGAATGAATGGGTCAACCAGGAAATTAAAGAAGAATTTAAAAAATCCATGGAGGGGCGCCTGGTTGCCTCAGTCGTTAGGCGTCTGCCTTCAGCTCAGGTCATGATCCCAGGGTCCTGGGATTGAGCCCCACATCGGGCTCCCTGCTCAGTGGGAAGCCTGCTTCTACCTCTCCCACTCTTCCTGCTTGTGTTCCCTCTCTCGCTTTGTCTCTCTCTGTCAAATAAATAAATAAAAATCTTTAAAAAAATTCATGGAGACAAATGAAAATGAAAACACAACTGATCAAAATCTTTGGTATGCAGCAAAGGCAATCCTAAGAGGAAAGTATATAGCAATATAAGCCTTTCTCAAGAAACAAGAAAGGTCTCAAGTACAACACCTAAAGGAGCTGGAGAAAGAACAGCAAATAAAGCCTAAACCCAGCAGAAGAAGAGAAATAATAAAGATCAGAGCAGAAATCAATGAAATAGAAACCAAAAGAACAGTAGAATAGATCAACGAAACTAGGAGCTGGTTCTTTGAAAGAATTAATAAGATTGATAACCCCCTGGCCAGACTTATCAAAATGAAAGGAGAAATGACCCAAATAAATAAAATCATGAATGAAGGAGGAGAGATCACAGCCAACACCAAAGAAATACAAACAATTATAAGAACATATTATGAGCAAATGTAAACCAGCAAATTAGACAATCTGGAAGAAATGGATGCATTCCTAGAGATGTGTAAACTACCAAAACGGAACCAGGAAGAAACAGAAAACCTGAACAGATCCATAACCATTAAGGAAATTGAAGCAGTTATCAAAAATCTCCCAACAAACAAGAGCCCAGGGCCAGATGGCTTCCCAGGGGAATTCTACCAAACATTTAAGGAAGAATTAATATCCATTCTTCTGAAATTGTTCCAAAAAATAGAAATGGAAGGAAAACTTCCAAACTCATTTTATGAGGCCACCATTACCTTGATCCCCAAATCAGACAAAGACCCCATCAAAGAGGAGAATTACAGGGGCACTTGGGTGACTCAGATGGTTAAGCGTCTGCCTTTGGCTCAGGTCATGATCCCAGGGTCCTGAGATCGAGCCCTGCATTGGGCTCCCTGCTTGTTGGGGAGTCTGCTTCTCCCTCTCCCTCTACTGTTCCCCCTGCTTGTGCTCTCTTGCTCTCTCTGTCAAATAAATAAATAAATAAAATCTTAGGAAAAAAAAAAGAATTACAGACCAATATCCCTGATGAACATGGATGCAAAAATTCTCACCAAAATACTAGCCAATAGGATCCAACAGTACATTAAAAGGATTATTCACCATGACCAAGTGGGATTTATCCCTGGGCTGCAAGGTTGGTTTAACATCCGCAAATCAATCAATGTGATACGATACATTAATAGAAGAAAGAACAAGAACCATATGATCCTCTCAATAGATGCAGAAAAAGCATTTGACAAAGTACAGCATCCTTTCTTGATTAAAACTCTTCAGAGTGTAGGGATAGAGGGTACATACCTCAATATCATAAAAGCCATCTATGAAAAACCCACAGCGAATGTCATTCTCAATGGGGAAAAACTGAGAGCTTTCCCCCTAAGGTCAGGAACACAGCAGGGATGTCCACTATCACCACTGCTATTCAACATAGTATTAGAAGTCCTAGCCACAGCAATCAGACAACAAAAAGAAATAAAAGGCATCCGGATCAGCAAAGAAGAAGTCAAACTCTCACTCTTTGCAGATGATATGATACATTATGTGGAAAACCCTAAAGACTCCACCCCAAAACTGCTAGAACTTATACAGGAATTCAGTAAAGTGGCAGGATATAAAATCAATGCACAGAAATCAGTGGCATTCCTATACACCAACAACAAGACAGAAGAAAGAGAAATTAAGGAGTCGATCCCATTTACGATTGCACCCAAAACCATAAGATACCTAGGAATAAATCTAACCAAAGAGGCAAAGAATCTGTACTCAGAAAACTATAAAATACTCATGAAAGAAATTGAGGAAGACACAAAGAAATGGAAAAACGTTCCATGCTCATGGATTGGAAGAACAGATATTGTGAAGATATCAATGCTACCTAGAGCAATCTACACATTCAATGCAATTCCTATCAAAATACCATCCACTTGCACCTGCAAGTGGCGTCACCGCTGGACATGCTGCTGTTGGGCGGTCTCTGGCTCTTGTGGTGGTGACCTCCTGCAGCGGGGGTCCCAGCAAAGAATCTCCACTTCAGGAAGGTCGCCTCTGGCGTCTCTCCCCCCGGCAGCACCTCACCCAGAGCCCTAAATATCTTCCACCGGGATTTGAAGAGGAAACAGAAAAACTGGGCGGCCCGGCAGCCTGAGCCGATGAAGTTTGGCTACCTGAAGGAGGAGGTTGAAAGTCGGATTGCAGACCGTGTGTATGACATAGCCAGAAATTTTTCCCTTGCTTTGGATATTGGTTGTGGAAGAGGTTACATAACACAACATTTGAATAAGGCAACTGTTGGAAAGTTTTTCCAAGTGGACATTGCAGAAAATGCTTTGAAAAATATCTTAGAAATGGAAATTCCTACTGTCAGTGTTTTAGCTGATGAAGAGTTCCTTCCCTTCAGAGAGAATACATTTGACCTGGTGGTTAGCAGTTTAAGTTTACACTGGGTGAATGACCTTTCTAGAGCACTTGAACAGATTCATTACGTTTTAAAACCAGTTGGAGTAATTATCAGTGCAATATTTGCAGGTGACACACTCTGTGAACTTCGGTGTTCATTACAGTTAGCAGAAACAGAAAGGGAAGGAGGATTTTCTCCACACATTTCCCCTTTCACTGCTGTCAATGACTTAGGACATCTGCTTGGGAGAGCTGGCTTTAATACACTGACTGGGGTAACTATCAAGAGAGTTGATTAATTCTCATTAACCGATTGATCACACAGTTCAGAAACAACTTCTCATTAAAGTAGAGATCTGTAGGTATCAATGGTATTATGAAAAAAAAAAAATACCACCCACTTTTTTTCAAAGAAATGGAACAAATAATCCTAAAATTTGTATGGAACCAGAAAAGACCCCAAATAGCCAGAGGGAGGAATGTTGAAAAAGAAAACCAAAGCTGGAGGCATCACATTGCCAGACTTCCAGCTCTATTACAAAGCTGTCATCATCAAGACAGTATGGTACTGGCACAAAAACAGACACGTAGATCAATGGAACAGAATAGAGAGCCCAGAAATGGACCCTCAACTCTATGGTCAACTAATCTTCAACAAAAGCAGGAAAGAATGTCTAATGGAAAAAAGACAGTCTCTTCAACAAATGGTGTTGGGAAAATTGGACAGCCACATGCAGAAGAATGAAACTGGACCATTTCTTTACACCACACAAAAATAGACTCAAAATGGATGAAAGACCTAAATGTGAGACAGAAGTCCATCAAAATCCTAGAGGAGAACACAGGCAGTAACCTCTTTGACCTCAGCCTCAGCAACTTCTTCCTAAAAACACCGCCAAAGGCAAGGGAAGCAAGGGCAAAAATGAACTACTGGGACTTCATCAAGAGAAAAAAGCTTTTTTTTTTTTTAAAAAAGATTTTATTTATTTGAGAGAGAGAGAGTGAGAGAGAGCATGAGAACAGGGTGAGGGGCAGAGGGAGAAGCAGACTCCCTGCTGAGCAGGGACCCCGATGTGGGACTCGATCCCAGGACCCTGGGATCATGACCTGAGCCGAAGGCAGTTGCTTAACCGACTGAGCCACACAGGCGCCCAAGATAAAAAGCTTTTGCACAACAAAGGAAACAGTCAACAAAACCAGAAGACAACTGACAGAATGGGAGAAGATATTTGCAAATGACATATCAGATAAAGGGCTAGTCTCCAAAATCTATAAAGAACTTATCAAATTCAACACCCAAAGAACAAATAATTCAATCAAGAAATGGGCAGAAGACATGAACAGACATTTTTCCAAAGAAGACATCCAAGGCCAACAGACACATGAAAAAGTGCCCAACATCGCTCAGCATCAATGAGATACCACCTCACACCAGTCAGAATGGCTAAAATTAACAAGTCAGGAAACGACAGATGTTGGCGGGGATGCGGAGAAAGGGGAACCCTCCTACACTGTTGGTGGGAATGCAAGCTGGTGCAGCCACTCTGGAAAACAGTATCGAGGTTCCTTAAAAAGTTAAAAAACAGAGTTACCGTACGACCCAGCAATTGCTCTACTGGGTATTTACCCCAAAGATACAAATGTAGGGATTCAGAGGGTTATGTGCACCCCGATGTTTATAGCAGCAATGTCCACAATAACCAAACTATGGAAAGAGCCAAGATGTCCATCGACAGATGAATGGATAAAGAAGAAGTGGTATATATATATACAATGGAATATTATGCAGCCATCAAAATGAATGAGATCTTGCCATTTGCAACGACGTGGATGGAACTGGAGGGTGTTATGCTGAGCGAAATAAGTCAAACAGAGAAAGACATGTATCATATGACCTCACTGATATGAGGAATTCTTAATCTCAGGAAACAAACTGAGGGTTGCTGGAGTGGGGGGGTGGGGTGGGAGGGATGGGGTGACTGGGTGATAGACACTGGGGAGGGTATGTGCTCTGGTAAGCACTGTGAATTGTGCAAGACTGTTGAACCTCAGATCTGTACCTCTGAAACAAATAATGCAATATATGTTAAGAAAAAAAAAAAAGAAGATAGTAGGAAGGGAAAAATGAAGGGGGGGAAATCGGAGGGGGACGAACCATGAGAGACTATGGACTCTGAGAAACAAACTGAGGGTTCTAGAGGGGAGGGGGTTGGGGGGATGGGTTAGCCTGGGGATTGGTATTGGGGGGGATGCGTATTGAATGGAGCACTGGGTGTTGTGCTTGGGCAATGAATCATGGAACACTGTATCAGGGACTGATGATGTGATGTATGGTGATTGACATAACATAGTAAAGTAAAATTAAAAACAAACAAACAACCCCCCCCCCAAAAAAAAAACCCAGCAGGGTGAAAATACCACCTCACTTCTAGGTGAAGTCATACATGGATACTGATTTTTGTCTTAGGTGAGAAGAGAGTAAGGAACATGGGAGCCTTGGAGGAGGTGAGAGCTCAGGTGGCTGGGTTCAGATGAGAAATGAGTTTGGTGGCCCCTGGGCTTGCAGGAGGAGAGAAGGGGACAGACTGTAGTGACAGCAGTGTGGCTCTGCTTGAGGGAAAGAGGTGTGGTCTAGCTCCATCTCTGGGGTCCTCATGGTTTAACAGGGTAAGTATGCCACCGAGGAAACTCTTACAATGAATTATTACCTTTAAAATAGCCAGAGGGGAGGGCAGCCTGGGTGGCTCAGTCAGTTAAGCCTCTGACTTCGGCTCAGGTCATAATCTCAGGGTCCTGGGATCGAGTCCCGCATATGGTTCCCGCTCAGCGGGGAGTCTGCTTCTCCCTCTCCCTTTGCCCCTCCCCCCGCTCTTCCTCTCTCTCTCTCTCAAATAAATAAATAAAATCTTAAAAAAAAATAGCCAGAGAGATGTTTGCTGCAGTTCAGTTTATGGTAGCAGACAACTAAAAGCAATGTAAATATCTAAAGCTAGAGGGGGCTTGGTTAAATAAATCATCCTATATCCATCCCCTGAGAGAATACTATTCAATCCTCAAAACTAATATTGTTAGAATCTATGTAGATGAGTATTAATTGACAAGGACAGAAATGCCCTTTATATATGTTGTGTGTAAAGAGGAAATAAAACAGCGGGTACAATGCAATCTCACTTTTGTGAAATGAAAGCAAGTGCCCGTTAAAAGATCCTGAAGGATGCGCATCAAGGTATTAACAGTGATTATCTCTAGGTGGTATTTGGGGGGTTTTAAAGTTTTCTTATTTCTGCTCATCTGTGTTTTCTGATTTTTCACAGTGAATATGTTCTGCTTTTATAATGAGGAAAAACGACATTTATTTTTAAAGTGTGGTGACAGTTAGATGGACAGAGATCAAAGACTGTGTTAATAGGGAGGAAAAAAAGACTGTGTTAATAGGACTCAGCTAATCTGGAAAAGCATCCATTGGGAGGCCCCAGACTCTCCATGCCAGGAGAAGGAGGGTGAGAGGAGTTTTGGGGGAAGGGCAGGTGGGGGCAGGGCAGGAAACCGGGGATGGCTCAGGCACAGGGAGATGGCAGAGGTGGGGGCCTCATGCCTGATATTCATCTTGTTGGCTCCTTGACTGATGGACCATGGTCATTTGCCACTCTACCCACACGTCCAGATGGCCCTCCAGAATAAACCGCAAGCACGGATGAACTCTGGATGGGACTTTGTCCTTTGATGTTGCTTGCGGGCACTCCAAAAGGCCATGCTATGAAATTGGTGAATGCAGGTGGAGAAGCCGATTATTAGCAGTTTTGGCCAAATGGTGGTGCTACAAGACAGAAGATCAGAGCACAGCCTAGCAGTCCCGGGTTAGGCTAGAATAGTCAGCTGCGACTGGAAGGCCACCAAGGGGGCAGAGGAAGGTTAAGAGGCAGCTTCCGCAGGGTCATCTTAAGTCACCTAGTCACCGGTCTACAATGCCCTCAGCTGCCATTCAATAAAATTGATCAGTATGATAATGAAGTGCCAAGAACGAAACAGAATAACTCAATCAGGTGTGGATCTTGGAACTAAACGCTCCAAGGGACAGCTCAAGGCACCTCTCCAAGCTCCTCTGTCAGCCCTCCCCCGCTCCCACAGGACACCCCCTTGCTCTGAGCCTCACCCACCCACCATGCTTTTTCCTTCCCTCCCTGTGTCATCCCTTCCTTCCCCATATTCACTGAGCACTCTCTGGATACCAGAGCATTTAGCCAGATCTTGGGCAGGTAAGGGAAAGATTCCTGAGGATGAGGTGGGAAGGAGCTAGATGAGGGGCAATGTATGTGCATGGAGTGGATGTGTCAAGTGTGATTGGCAGAGAGGACCATGCTCCCAGGTCCTTGGGCTGGAGAAATGGGGCTGGTTGGAAGAACCAAGTAAAGCCCTAGTGTGGCTGAAGGCTGGTCAACAAGGGGGAGACTGGCAAAGATGCGACTGGAGAGAGGCGGGGGACTGACTGTGGAGTTTGGACATTGCGAGACCACTGGAGGATTCTAAGCAGGCAAGGGACATGATGAGATTGATTTTCTTTTTTTTAAAGATTTTATTTATTTATTTGACAGAGAGAGAGATAGCGAGAGCAGGAACACAAGCAGGGGGAGGGGGAGAGGGAGAAGCAGGCTTCCTGCTGAGCAGGGAGCCCAGTGTGGGACTCGATCCCAGGACCCTGGGATCATGACCTGAGCCGAAGGCAGACGCTTAACGACTGAGCCACCCAGGCACCCGATGAGATTGATTTTTAAAGAAGACCTCACAGGATGGTGTGGGAGAAAGTCTCATGTGGCCAAGAGAAGACCTTCTAACAGGGAGGTGCTAACAGGACAGAGGAATGATGACTGCAGCCTGTGCATGGTGTGTAGATGGGGAGAAGGGGAGAAGTTCTATATTTTGGGAGTAGACTTAGTAATTTATTAGATGCAGGAGGGGTGGGGTAAGAGAGAACAAGCGGTCAAATAGGATTCCCTGGTTTCTGGCATGAACAAGCAGATGGATGGTGTGTCATTTACTAAGATGAGCAGTAATTAAGGAGTTGGTGGGCGGCTAAGAGCAGTCATTTCAGTTTTCCGTTTTGAATGGGTTAAATCTGAGATGCCGAAGAGACATCCAAAACAAGCATTAAGTAGAAAGTTCCGCAGACTGTTTAGGCGCTCAGAAGAAAGATCTGGACTGGACATCTAAAATTTGGAAGCCTTTGCTATATAGAAGGTGCTATGGAAGCCATGGCAGTGGATGAGATTACTCAAGGGAATAGTACATAGCAGCAGGAGAAGAGGGTCTGGGACCTGGCCCTGAGGAACACCCTGGCCCAGGGAGCCTGCAGGGGGACTCGATCCCAGGACCCTGGCATCATAACCTGAGCCGAAGACAGATGCTTCACTGACTGAGCCACCCAGGCGCCCCAGGGGGTCTGTTTGAAGGTGGGCAACACTAGAACATGTTGGAATGCTAATGAGAAGGATCTAGCAGAGTGAGAGAGAAAGCTGATGCAGCAGAGAGAAGGTCAGTTGAGGTGTGCGGGAAGGGATGGGGTCCAGACTTCTGCTCCTGCTTTTCCCTCTGCCTACAATCGGTGCCTCCCCTGGCTTATCACAAGCTCACCTCGTATGATCCTCCAGAACCAGCTTGGATGTCACTGCTTCTGGGACCTTTCTCTAGTCCTACCAGACAACTTTGTCTCCCTGCCACGCACGGCATGTTTTATGGCTGGGTGATAGCTTCTATCATCTATTATTGAGGACACGGATTCCCACAGAAGTGTCTGTCGGCCAGCACTGTGTCTGGCACGTAGATAGCAGGTCCTCAGACGTGATTCTGAACGGACAGTTGAATGGATGAATGCGTGCAGTGTCAGCACCCCGGACATCCTGGTGGCGAGGGTGCTGGGGGTGATGGCAGGACAACTGAGAGAACTGGCTATTTCAGCCGCTAGTTCTGATTTTTTTTTCCCTTGCAGGACTGGAGTCCTGACAGTTCCCAGACTCTGCATTATCACCCAAGGAATCTAGCTTCTAGGATCAGCCCAGTGTAGAAGAAGAAACAGAAATGGAGACAGAACCCTGCTCCCATCAGTCCTTCCACACAGCAAGCCAGGAGGTCAGAGGTGAGGGGAGCGGTAGGATGGGGGTGGGGGGCAGGGGAGGCACCTGAATTCCTCTCTCCCAGTACACAGGGATCCTCAGGTATTTTTTAATTAAGCTGAGGAGAAGCAACAGGGACCCTCTGGAATGTAAACACGAGATAAGACCAGGCTCCTCTCCTCTCCAGGAAGCTTCCATTTTCTTTCTTCTAGGATGAATACCACATTCTTTCCCAGGAGCTAGTTTTGCTCCCCCACCCCCCTAGTTACTGCAGGTCATCCTCTGCGGGGTGGGGGGAAGGAGTCTGCCTCCCAAGTTCTTTCCACACCCCCTACCCAGCCTTTGTCTCCCTATTTGGGTCTTTTTGTATCCCTGGTGGCTGCGTAGTCTCAGGCAGGGCCTGTGCTTCTGGACCTGGAGGGGGACCTCCGATTTTAATCAATATATGGATATCTCTCGGGTTTGTGCTGTGGCTTTTTGACCCCTGCTATGGGCCTCTCTTCCCTGTCTCTTCCGGGACGGTAGAACCGGCGCCATCACTGGGCCAATCCGACATCCATTCGATAATTAATTAATACCAGCCAGCACATGGCACTGGGCAGCCAAAGTACTGGAAGAACAGCCTGGGCGGGCGGTGCTAATAAGAGGTGCCCAGAGGAGGAGAGAGAGCGCCTGCAGCCACAGTTCCGGGGAAGGCTTCAGGGAGGAGGTGTGGTTGCCTGGTTGAGGGAAGCGTGGCGTGCAGGAGAGAGAGGCCGGCGCAGGAGGCAGCATCGGAAGCATGGCTTCGGATCAGCTCAGCTGGAGCAGAGGGTTTAGAGAAGGAGGAGACTGGAGAGTTAAAGATCGGGACAACTATGGGGGTGGTGGGAGAGATGGAATGCAGGGATAAGGAGGCTGGGTTTTATACCTGAAACAATGGGAAGCCATTAAAGGTGTTTACCATTGGGGGAGGGATTGGTGATGAGGGGGCAGACGCAGATTTAAAGATAATTCTGGAAGCAACGTGGGGACTGTTGTTCAGGGCAGAGAGGCAAGGGTCCCATGCTCTCTTATCTCCCCCACAGATCCCCCCTCAGCTGGTGCTGTTGGCTCAGCCAGCCCAGGAGTCCCTGGAGCGAAGATCTGGAATCTGTGGGACTGAGGGAACCTCAGTGTGGGGACTCGCAGACATTGGGTCCACACTTGGCCAGGGGTTCTGTCCACAGTAAAGCTTGGACCTCAAAGCCTTTCCTGCCTTTCGGGTAGCACAGGACAGGATGAACTGTTCTGGGCCAGAGTGTCTGGCATCACCCAGGGAAGGGTTCGGGTAACTGTATGCACCTGACCTCTCACCTCAGCCTCAAGAGCAAAGGGGATGGTTTGGAACCAGCTCACTGGGTCCCTGGGGACACTGCAGAGGCTCAGTCCATCTACAGAGGTGCCCCAGAGTATCCCCTCCCTCTCCTTGTGATCCCCAAACCCAGGCTTCACTGACCCCCACTTTTCCTACCCTCTCCTCCTCCCTCAGGGGTCAGGTCTTGGGAAGAGTCCACTGGAATGCCAAGCCACACTGAGTCCTGGGGTCTCGGAGAATGTCTCAGAGACAGGGGGATGGAGGCAGTGACGTCTCCAGGATTGTTCCTGTAGGGGCATTGGCTGGACTCTTCGGCTTCTGTCTCTGGGAATCGGGGACTGTGCAGTTTAGAGCTGCTCTCACAGGAAGGGATTCATCCTTCTCTTTGTCCCAAGGCAGGCCGCTTGCCTTTCTTCATCTCCTGGTTCCCCTCCCCCCACCCCTACCTATCCATTTCTCCTTCAGGACAGGGCTGGAAAGATGGGGGATGCCAGACTCAGCTCTGAGCTTCGTGCAGGGGTGCTGTCTGCAGACCCTTCTGTCCTTGGGCAGGGGTGTAATTTGGCCCCTCTATGGCTCTGGAACCAGAGATGCCTCCATATATCTCTATCTCTCTATCTCTATCTCTATCCCTATAACTAGCATGCTTCCAAATGTCAAGGAAGAGGAGGTATTTTCATATTATTAAATTGATGTCCCCCCCTCCATGATCCCTAGGTCCTCTCCAAAAATGGCCCCTGCTTTACTTCTGGAAGGGGATTTCTCTGTGGATCCAGGCAAGTGACTCTCCAAGCCCTGACTTATGGTGCTCCCATCACCACTCCCTGCCCCCATCCTCTGCCCACCTACATTCCACTCATCCTTAGCTATCAGCAAGATGCCCACCACCTCCAGGAAGCCCCCCACCCCTTCCCCTGCATGCCCTCCTTCTCTGTATTTCTTGGTGCAGCTCTCCTTTCTGGTGACAAAACAGGGCAGACTCTGCTGGACCTTGGTCCCCTGTGGCTTCCTGTGGATGGGTTAGTCCGGTTTGCCTGGCCACACTTTACACTCCTCAAGGGCAGCAGCTGCATCTCCTCCTGGGTGGGGCGGGGATGGTGGGGAGAGAGGCTGGTATGATGGGTCAGAGGGAGGAGAGAGGTATGCGTGTTGTGTGTGTGTGTGAGAGAGAGAGACAGAGACAGAGATAGAGAGACAGAGAGAACAGGGGCAGAAATGCCCAACTGGAGAGGTGGTGAGGACATGGACTGTCCCCTAAACCCCTGCCAGCCCTTGTCACAACTAAGCCCCCACTGATTATATTCTGTTCTTTGGTGTATAATTTGCATTTTGTGTATTATGTGCATAGATGACTATAAGTTCCCTTCCCTTAATGGGCAATGTGCATCACATCCGGGTGCCCCAGAGGATGTTTTTTCTCTATATCCAGGGTCCGGGGTCCCCATGCCTCCTTGAGGACTGGGACTTGAGTTCCTGCCCCACTGTCTTCAGACCTGCCGCAAGCATGGAATTAGATGGCCCCATCTGGTAAGCCGGCAAGGGGTCTGCAAACATGGGGCCTCTCTTGAGGTTCAGCTTACAGGATCCCAGTAGCTGATACCCACCGAGTTCCTTCAGTGAGCTGCATGCCTTTCCTCCCCGCCCAGGGCTCTGAGGTGTGTTCATTTCAATGAAGACGAAACCCAGGTGACCTGTGTCTCAAGCTTTGGCTCCCAGGCCACAGGTATGCCTATGACCTGCTGTGTCCTTACAGCCTTGGGTCCTTACTGCACTGGTGTCCCTATTGGTAAGTTGTCACTGCCTGAGCTGTTGAAATCCCCCCCCCCCCACCTTATCTTCCTAGGACTCCTCCCCGCCATCAGCCCTAAGGAGCAGGCATGCAGGCTCAAAATCATTTCCCTACCAGCTTCAAAGCCTGGACTTCTGCTGCTCGTGCCCAATCCTTGAACCGAAAACCCTTGTGTCCAGATGACTCTTTTTTTCTGATTTTCAGAGTTTAGAAAAGAAATGTAGTGCAGGTAAAGTATAAGGAAAACCACAGTGGGGTATGAGGTGGCCCCTGGAATTATGGACGCAGACACATCAACATTTATTTCTACAGCAAAACTTAGGAATAGTCACACTGAATTGGAGATGTAAAAATTATAAATAGCCCATGTCAGGTTTTACATGCAAGTGAGTTACAAAGAACTTTTGGTCTCCAGAGCTTCTGGAATTTGGAATTGTTGGGGTAGGAGTTGAACAATAAGATACTGCCTTTGAAGGGTGATTGTGTGACTTGGTGGGAGTGTGAGTAAGTTGGAAGACTTGCTGAGAAGGGCTGGATGGGATGACAGAAGCCTGGAAGTGGGGGCACATGACAGAGCTCCAGGGGACCCCAGGAAGGCTTTGATTAGACCAGGGTTGTGACCATCCAGATACCCTTTGCCCTGCCAACAGAAGGATTTGATAGGTCTGAGGAGCAGAGTGTGGCTGGGCCCGGCGCCAGATAGGGCTCAAGGCAACATCACGGTGGGCAGCAGGCCTTTGAGACCTGGGCTGGGCAGAGCCATGTTCTGCAGGTAAGAGGTGACTTCCTTATTTAGGCCTGGGGCCTTGGGGCAGCCCTGGGAGTGTTGCAATCCTGGAGAGTAGCTGCAGGGACAAGACCCTTTTGTCCTGAACTTTTGGCTCAGCTCGGTTCCCTGTGTGCCTATGTTACTCCTGCCAGCTCAAGGTTATCTCCCTGGTGATGTACTGCGTGAGGCTTGGCATTCGCCCGCACATGCGCACTTGCTACTGCTACAGCCAAGAGCAGACTCAGATTTTCTGGAACCCTAGGAACATGTGTTTATTGAGTGCCTTCTATGTGCTAGGCGAGCAGTTGAGCCTCCGGGGCTACATTCTCTTTATTCTCTCATCTGGAATGCACGCCTCTCCCACGGCACAAATCCTAGCATCCCTGAGTTCTACTTCTGCCATGAGTCATGATCACCATCCTTTCTTAGAACGCCTAGCATTTACTGCCCTGCCATTCCTTGGCTCTGAATTCACCTCCTGAGCTTTCTCGTATCCTTGTCTTCCGTTTTGTTACTTGAATTTTTATTTGAATGCTTGGTGTTCTGAATCATTTAGGGATTAAGACCAAGGGTCTGCACCTAGGTCCAAGCTATCCCCAAAGTGGGCACCTGCCCCTCCTTCCCTGAACACGTGTGGAATGCAAGAGTGACCCCAGGGGAGGACTATAAAAGCCCTTCAAAGAAGAGGGGGAAAATGGTGCCGTGGGCCCATAAACATTTGCACTAAGCATTCCTAAATGACAGCAAGATTTACAGTTTTAGCACTTTCCCATTACAGAGGCCATTTCAGTGACTGAAGGGGACTGTAATTTCTGTATCAGGGAAAATTGGAAGCAGCCACCCGCAATAGCCATTGCACTGGGTTCATTCCACATGCTTGTATATTCATTCAATAGCTTTTGTAGCCGATAAGATTTTCCTCTGGCTAGAATGATTTAGGCCTGCTGGAAAGCCCTTGGGGTTTCTTAAAGCTGGGGGGGGTTGGTGGAGGGGGGCCACAGAAACGGGGAAGTTCAGCCATCCTCCCACTGTGTTCTGTTTCTTGGTACAAAGAAGAGCTACAGAGGGAGAAGGATGGCCAATGACAGCTTCAGATGTCCCTCGACTCACCTTTTTCCTCCTTCCCTTGGGTGTTCTGCCTGCGGAGTTCCATCCTGGTAGCTTATTTGTTCCTTTAGTTGTTCATTCAAAAGCTAATGAGAGGGGCGCCTGGGTGGCTCAGTCGGTTAAGCGGCTGCCTTCCGCTCGGGTCATGATCCCAGGGTCCTGGAATCGAGCCCCGCATCGGGCTCCCTGCTCAGCGGGGAGCCTGCTTCTCCCCCCTCTCCCTCTGCCTGCCTCTCTGCGTACTTGTTCTCTCTGTCAAATAAATAAATAAAATCTTAAAAAAAAAGCTAATGAGAGCTGATCGCTAACTTCAGAAATTTTGCTTGCCAGAATTAAACCCCTAGTAGCTTGAAATTGACCACCGTGGGAGTATTTACACTATGGGAATGGGAAAATGCTATAGGTTGGGGCTACTTTTTTTTTTTTTGCCTCCCCCTGTCACCCCCTCCCCGCCATTTATCGGTGACTTAACCTATGTTAGAGCTGTGCTAAGTCCCAGGAGTACAAAGGTGAACAAAGCAGCCTAGTCTTTGCCCACGGGGAGCTTACAGTCGGAATGGCACCGTGCAATATGGTAATCTGTAGCCCTTAGCCACTAGTCTCTACTGTGGCTATTTACATTAATTGAAATTAAATATAATAAAAAATAATTTCCTCAGTCACACTAACCATATTTCAAGTGCTCAATAGCCCCATGTAGTTAGTAGCTACCATATTAGACAACACAGATATTTTCATTACTGCAGAAAGTTCCATCATTGGATGGTGCCTAGAGACAGGAGAAGGAGAAGAGGAATGGGTAGGGCTGATGGATCATATATACCCAGACCCACACTAGACCTTCAAGATGAAAGAACCAAGTGCTCTGGTGCGGGGGTGGGGCGTGTCCCACAAGTTTCAGGAAATAGTATAGCAGTATTCTCCCTTACCTTACCACGTGGTATGCATGTTGATCTAGTTTATTCTACCCTATCCTATTCATTTTATTACAAATATGCTGGTTAATCAACTCTCCATGTTCATACCCTGCAATTTGAAAAACACTGCTTTGACGTCAGTGGGGGCGGGGCAGGGTGATGGGGGCAGAGCAGAGTGATGCAGGTGGGGAGGGTGTCCTGGAAGAGACCGCGGGGGTGGTGGGGAGAAGAAGGAAAGGGAGAGTGTAAGTCTGGCAAAGGGAACTAACTTGGGGTGGGAGCCAGGGGCCACAAAGAGCTGGAATTCACTCCTCAAACATGGGTTACTTTAAAGCTTCTGCCTTCCTGCCCTCTTTTGGCCTCCGCTGCCAGCCTTTTCATCTGGCCTTGAGTGTAAATCATTAGCTCTAGCAGTGGATACAAAGCGGGACTCAAACACAGGCATGTGTGGGAAGGGCCTGGGGGCAGCTCCTCGGTGTAAATGAATGGCTTCAGATCTCTCAAGGGGGTGAGTGATGGAGAAAGGTCAGCCAATTTGGCAGGTCAACCCTGCTGCCTGGGGTAGGAGGGGGTGGAGAACTCTGCGGGTTTTGAGCCCACGGCATTGCAATGCCTTCAAATCCCCAGTTTACTATAAACTACTCTGGCTGTAGCACCAGCCACTTCACCATGTTCTGATCAGGGCCTTTGGTAGAGACACCATCCCAAGACCCGAGGATCACTGAAATTCTAAGTCCTTGAGATGTTCCTAACTAGAGGACTGCTTTCCCAGCTCATCCCTGGGCAGGTGGGGTCGAGGCCAGCAGTGGAGCTCATCCTTACATAGTGCTCGGGACTCCCTCTGCCCAGGTTAGGAGAAGAGTACTCACTCACACATGAAATCTTACGAAAGAGGGAGTTCTGTGTATCTCTAGTGGGCAGAGTTGGTCTAGAAGGTTAGGAGGCAGATTTCAGCCCAGTAGAAGGAGTGATAATGTTCTAATAATTAACATGCCCAAGGGGGCTGTGCTGTTTTAAAATCTTCACACAGAAAAAGTTGGGAAGGCCAGAAAGAGGATTTCTACTTTGAGAGGCCAAATTTGAATCGTTTATTCATTCATTCAACACCTGTTTATTGACCACCTATTATATGCACTGTGCTAGGTGCTGGGGTTACAACTGAAGATGAAGCAGACAGAAATCCATAACATCCTGGAGCTGACACGGGTGGGTAGGTGGGGGGAGTGGGAAGAAAAGCACAAGGTGATTTGGAAGGCCTCCTATAATGTGAGGATTGTAGAATGTATGGAACTGGATGGAATTCCATGACTCACCTCCACCCACATTATTCTGGGTGATCTTCACAACCACCCTTCAAACAGTCAGAGCAGGCCAGGCCAGTGTCTCTCATCTAGTAAATGTGGGCTCAAGAAAGGAATGTCTTGGGGCACCTGGCAGGCTCAGTTGGTAGAGCATACAATTCTGGATCTCGGGGTAGTGAGTTCAAGTCCCACAGTGGGTGTAGAGCTCACATTAAAAAAAGAAGAAGAAGAAGAAGAAGAAGAAGAAGAAGAAGAAGAAGAAGAAGAAGAAAGAAAGGAATGTCTTTTTTTTTTTTTTTAAGATTTTATTTATTTATTTGAGAGAGAGCACATGAGGGGGGAGGGTCAGAGGGAGAAGCAGACTCCCTGCTCAACAGGGAGCCCAATGTGGGACTTGATCCTGGGACTCCAGGATCATGACCTGAGCTGAAGGCAGTTGCTTAACCAACTGAGCCACGCAGGCGCCCAAGGTATGTCTTTATGTCACTGATGAAAAACTGAGGCCCAGAGAGTGGCTGATCTGAGGTCACAGAGGTAGTGACAGGGCTGGGACTGGATTCAGATTTTAGAACTTGCCAGCTTTTCCCACTCTGATGGGCCATCCAGACCAGTGGAGGCCAGAGCATCTCTCTCCTTAGCTCCCTTCATCAAGGAGAACTGAGGCTTTCCCCAGGGTTGGGAGAGGGAAAAGGCACCTGGGCCAGGATGAGGGTACTGGCTTGGGACGGGGGCGGTCTGCAAAGCGCCCTTCTCATTCCTGGTGACCAATGGGCATTACCTTCCAGAGGTTATATGGCAGGCCTTCCTGAGAGGGAAGGGACAGGGGCAGTTATGCAACCTGGGAAGAGAACACCTGAATTCTGGTGAGTGCTCAACTACTTATGATAACATCAAGCCCCACGAAGCACTTATTGTGGGCTAGACAGAATCCTAAAACTTTGCATATGTTAATTCATTTAATCCTCTCAACAACCCCAAGAAGCAGGCACTATTTTAGCCCTATTTTAGGACAAGGGAAACTAAGCCTGGACAGGTAATGAACCCGGCCACAGTCACCCAGCTAGTGAGTGGCTCACCAGGGATTTGAGCCCTGGTAGTCTAGCCCAACGTCTGTCTCTCAGGGGCTCTGGCCTCGGCCACTCCCAGGTCCGGAGCCCATCTTCCTCCCTATTCCCTCAGCGGGCTTCTGGCCATCCCGCTGCCCTAGGCACCTGCCTCGCCCTCCCCGTTGAAACTGACCATATCCGTGGCCTCCTCCAAGGCCGCATTCCTCGGTGGGTGGGCGGGGGCCGAGGGGCGGAAAAGAACTGGAAGAACCTGAAAAAGCTTTGTGTTGGGGTAGGATTCCCCTTAAAGCCACAGCCAAGGTGGGAGCGGATAGGGTGTGGGGAGGAACCCAGGGAAGGCGCCAAGGCCCGGGATCGCGGGGAGCGCGCGGCGAGGCTGGCCCAGCTAGAGCCGGGTTGGGCGCGAAGCAGAACCCCAGATCTCAAAAATTCTCCTACAGAACCGGCCGTGGAGCAGGGCCTGTCGTTCTGGCTCTGCGCCGCCCGCCGCCTCGGCTCATTTCCGAGCAAGCCGCGTGGGGAAGCCGCATTCCTGCCCGCGCCCTTCTTTCTCTCGCGCTGCGTCCTCACACCTTTGGGAAGCGGCCCACGGTGGACCCAGGGGGGCGCGGCCGCCCCCTACCCGTCCCCCCACCTCCACGCGACCCCAGGGTGCTGGCCGGGGGCGCCTGGGTGTCCCCAGCCGCGAGGGTTCAGCGCCGGCCGCCCTTCGCGTGGCTGGGGTCTGGCCCCCAGGGCAGGGCTGCCAACCTCCCGCCGCCGCTTCCCCAGCACGCTCGCCTCTAGCTGAGGGGTCTCCTGGTTTCCAGCGTGTCCTGAGACTCCTGGGAAAACCCAGGGTGAATCCCGGGGCACCTGCAACCTCCCAAGCAGGCTCCAAGCCCAGTGTGGAGCCCGACACGGGGCTTGATCCCACGACCCAGAGATCATGACCCCAGCCAAAATCAAGAGTCGGAGGCTCAACCAACTGAGCCACCCAGGCGCCCCTGAGAATTCTTTACATATTCTAGATACTAATTGTTGTAAGATGTGTAGTGTTCAAATATTTCCTCCTAGTCTGTTGCCTGTCTTCATCCTCTGAACAGTTTCTGTCACAGAACAAACGTTTTTAATCTTGAAGAATTCCAGCTTACCAGTTTTTATGGATCTGCTGTTGATGTCAAGTCTAAGAGCTCTGCCTAGCTCTAGATCTCAGATTTCTCTGTTTTTTTTTAATGTTTTTTTCTTATAGTTTTATAATTTTATGTTTTACACTTAAGTTTGTGATCAATATTGAGTTAATTTTTATGTAAGGTGTGAGACTTCCGTCAAGATTTTTTTTTTTTTTTTTTTTGGTCCATGGATGTCCAGTTGCTTTGATACCACTTGTTGAAAAGGCTGTTTTCTCCATTGAATTGTTTTTATGCCTTTGTCAAAAATCAATTTGGCATATTTGTATGGATCTCTTTCTGGGTTCTCCATGGTGTTTCATTGATCTATGTGTCTATCCCTCTGTCAATACCATACAGTCTTGGTTACTATAGGTGTATATTAAGTCTTCAAATCATGTAGACTGATTTTTCCCACTTTATCGTAATTGTTTTAGCTATTCTAGTTTTTTTGCCTTTCCATATAGATTTTAGGATAATTTTGTTTATATCTATAAAAAAATCCCGTTTCATTGCCAATTGGTAATTTTTGTCTTCTCTCTTTTTAAATTTGTCAGTCGTGCTAGAGTTTTGTCAATTTCATCTTTTCAGAGAAATAGTTCTTTGTTTCATTGATTTTTCTCTGTTGTTTTTCTGTTTTCAATTTTATTGATTTCATTTTTATTATTTCTTCCTTCTGCTTGCTTAGGGCTTATTTTGCTATTCTTTTCTAGGTTCTTGAGGTGGGAGCTGAGTTATTAATTTGTTGACTTTACTTCTTTTCTTTTTTAGATTTTATTTGTTTATTTGTTTTAGACAGAGAGGGGGCATGGGGGCAGGATGGGGAGGAGCAGAGGGAGAGGGAGAGAATCTCAAGTAGACTCTGTGCTGAGTGCAGACTCTGATGCAGGGCTCAATCCCACAACCCAGAGATCATGACCTGAGCTGAAACCAGGAGTCCAATGCTCAACCAACTGAGCCACCCAGGCACCCCTACCTCTTTTCTAACATAAGCTTAGATTGCCCTCTCAACACTGCTTTACCTGTGTCTCACAACTTTTGATATGTTGTATTCCAATTTTCATTCAGTTTAATATATTTTTAAATTTCCTTTGCAATTTCTTCTTTGATCCATGGATTAGTTAGAAGTGTACTGTTTAGTTTCCAAGTGTTTGGAGATTTTCCTGTTCTCTCTGTTGTTGATTTCTAGTTTGGGTCCATTGTGGTCAGAGAACACATTCTGTATGATTTAAATTCTTTTCAGTGTTTTGAGGTTTGTTTTATGGCTCAGGATATGGTCTGTCTTGGTGTAAGTTCAGTGGGCATTTGAAAAACATGTGTATTCTGCTGTTGGTGGTAGACTGTTTTATAAATGTCAATAGATCCTGTTGGTTAATGGTGTTTTTGACTTCCTTTATATCTTTGCTGATTTTCTGTGTAGTTGTTTTATCAATTGTTAAGAGAGACATGTTGAAGTCTCCAACTATAACTGTAGGTTTGTCTATGTCTCCTTTCACTTCAATCAGTTTTTTTTTTTTTTTTTTTACTTTACGTATTTCACAGGCTCTGTTATTTGGTGCATACACATTAGGATTGCTATGTTTTCTTGGTGGATTAGCTTTTTATCATTATATAATGTCTCTTTCTACCTCTGGCAATTTTCTTTGCTCTGAAGTTATCTGATATTAATATGCCACTTCTCCTTTCTCTTGATTGATGTTTTCATATTATATGAAACTTTTCTAAACTAATATTTTATTTATTTATTTGACAGAGAGATAGAGAGAGAGAACAAGTAGGCAGAGAGGCAGGCAGAAGGAGAGGGAGAAGCAGGCTTCCTGCTGAGCAGGGAGCCTGATGCGGGGCTCGATCCCAGGACCCTGGGATCATGACCTGAGCTGAAGGCAGCCACTTAACCGACTTAGCCACTCAGGTGCCCCTCATATTATATGAAACGTTCAACTTACTTATATCATTGTATTTGAAATGAGTTCCTTATAGATAGCATATAGTTTTTTAATCCACTCTGCCAATATCTGTCTTTTAATTGGTATATTTATACCACTTAATGTGATTATTGATATATTAGGGCTGAAGTCTACCTTTTTATTTTATTTTTCTCTATTTGCTCTGTTTTTCATTTCTTTTTTCTGCCTTCTTTTGGATTGCTTAAACTTTTTTAGAACTACATTTTGCTTAGTTGGTGGTGTTTTTTTTTAATCTTTTTTTTAAAAGACTTTATTTATTTATCCGAGAGAGAGAGATTGAGCGATCGATCACGAGCAGGGGAGAAGGGTAGAGGGAGAAATCATGAGCAGGGGAGAGGGGTAGAGGGAGAAACAGACTCCCTGATGAGTGGGGAGCCTGATGCGGGACTTGATCCCAGGACCCTGGGATCATGACCTGAGCCGAAGGCAGATGCTTAACTGACTGAACCACGCAGGCGCCCTGGTAGTGTTTTTTTTTGCTTTAAGATTTATTTATTTATTTGAGAGAGAGACATAGCATGAGCAGGGGGAGGGGCAGAGGGAGAAGGAGAAAGAATCCTAGGCAGACTCGTGCTGAGCATGGAGCCCAATGCAGGGCTCCATCTCATGACCTTGAGATCATGACCTGAGTCAAAATCAAGAGTCGGATGCTCAACTGATGGAGCCATCCAGGAGCCCCTAGTTGGTAGTGTTTTTGAGTGTAACTCTTTGTATAGATTTGTAAATGGTTAAAATGTTTTCTAGCAGTCACATTTATTTACTTAGTAAACTCTACTCCCAATGTGGGTCTTGAACTCATGACCCCAATATCAAGAGTTGCATGCTCTACCAACTAAGCCAGCCAGGCACCTCACTAGTAGTCATATTTACAGTAAAGCAATAAGAGCGGGCTTTAATAGACTGCCCACTTAATTTAAAACTAGAACCCTATGATCCGGTAATTACTGCCAAAGATTCCTGTGGGTCAGACCATTCTGATTATTGCTCTGACCCTGTTGCGTTTTAAGGTAACCATACCCACTTTGCTTCCGGTGGTCCACTGTTGCCACCTGGCCTCTGCCATGCTGGGATCCCATCATTGCTATCAAAATCAGGAAGCCTATTTCCATAGCAGCCCTTCCATCTTCATCCCCCAGCATACAGAGAAAAATTAGCACAGTACTTTTTAAGAATGCTGTGCTTCTCTTAATGGTATATTTCCCAATGCCTCAGTGAAGGGAATTCGCTAGGCCCTCTTGGGGGAATTATTCAGGGGTGAGTGAATAGATAGTACGCGATAAAATCCGTTCCAACATTCCTTTCTTGCTACATCTTTAGATTCCTTCCTCTGAATTATGCAATAAGACTTCTCGTATCTCAGCTTCATTTATTGTATGCTACTTCTGAGACCAGGTTTTATTTTTAATTTATTTTTTAAAGATTTTATTTACTTATTTGACAGAGAGAGAGAGAGCACAAGCAGGGGGAGTGGCAGGCAGAGGGAGAGGGAGAAGTCGGCTTCCCACTGAGCAGGGAACCCATTGTGGGGCTTGATCCCAGGACCCTGAGATCATGACCTGAGCCAAAGGCAGACACTTAACCGACTGAACCACCAAGGCACTCCTGAGATCAGGTTTTAGCTAATCAACTAAAGAAAGAGATAAAATCATTCCCGGCTGCTGGAGCCAGCACACTGAGTTTGAATTCTCCAAATCCATATAAGTAAACCCATATAAATAAACTCAGCCCAATAAAACCGTGTCTCCCAAATTCCCCAAGTTTGTGTCTATATAAACTGACAAAATCTTTACAATTGTTTTTGGCTTGTGAGTCTTCTCTAGAGTCAGATTTTGTACTGAGTCGTTTATTACATGTTAACTATCTCAGGTGAAGCCCTTACAGAGTCTCCAAGGAAGACAGAACCAGTCTCATTAGACAAAGAAGACAAAGAAAGAGGGGCTGCCTCTGCCAGTCAGTGAGGTTTAGCATGGTCTGGGCATTCAGCATCCTCAAGTATATCCCAAACTTCTTTTTCCCATTCTTAGGATTCCTCCTCAATGCCTTGGCTTTCATATAAGACCTGGTTGTGATTCCAACTTATCCTGCAGTGTCAGGCTTCGGCTCCATCAGCCCTGGGGCTACAGGAGTTGAGAGATTCATTTAGGAAGTCTTAGAAGCAGCCTGGTCCTCTTGAGCCAAGAATATTTTTTTTATTATTACCATATGATCTATTATTTGTTTCAGGGGTACAGGTCTGTGATTCATCAGTATTACACAATACACAGCGCTCACCACATCACATACCCTCCTCAATGTCCATCACCCAGCCACCTCATCCCCCCCACCTCCCTCCACTCTAGCAACCCTCAGTTTGTTTCCTGAGATTAAGAGTCTCTTATGGTTTGTCTCCCTCTCTGGTTTCATCTTGTTTCATTTTTTTCCTCTCTTCCCCTATGATCCTCTGCCTTGTTTCTCAAATTCCATATATCAGTGAGATCGTATGATAATTGTCTTTCTCTGATTGACTTATTTAGCTTAGCATAATACCCTCTAGTTCCATTCACGTCATTGCAAATGGCACGATTTCATTTTTTTGATGGCTGCATAATATTCCATTGTATATATATACCACATCTTCTTTATCCATTCATCTGTCGATGGACATCTGAGCTCTTTCATATTTCATCAATAGTTTGGCTATTGTGGACATTGGACATTGCTGCTATAAACGTTGGGGTGCATGTGCCCCTGCACATGCATCACTACCTTTGTATCTTTGGGGTAAATACCCAGTAGTGCAATTGCTGGGTCATATGGTAGCTCTATTTCCAACTTTTTGAGGAACCTCCATACTGTTTTCCAGAGTTGAGCCAAGAATTTAAAACTTGGAGCTTTCCTTTCCCTTCTCTAAGCTCACCAGTGTAGCCAAAGCGGCCAGACCACCCCAGAGAACCCTTGATTTCCTTTTTCCCACTGTAATGGTCTATCTTAACAGGTGTGTAGTCTGCCCAAGATTTACCTTCAAGAGGCCAGTCCTTCCAGGTGGCCCCAAGTGGTAAAATAAGTTACGGTTTTGCCATTACATGTAGTTACTGAGACCTCACTGCCTTCAGACCCAGCCAAGTACAGCCACGATGGAAAATAATATGGAGGATCCTCAAAAAATTAAAAACAAAACTACCATAGGATCCAGCAATTCTGCTTTTGGGAATATAGCCAAAGGAAATGAAAACACTAACTCGAAAATCTATCTGCACCCCCATGTTCATAGCAGCATTCTTTACAATGGCCAAGACATAGAAATAACCTGGGTCCATCGTGGATAAATGGTTAAAGAAGTTGTGGCATGCATATGCAATGGAATATAATTCAGCCATAAGATTGAGGAAATCGTACCATTTGTGACAATGTGGATGGAGCTTAAAAGCGTTATGCTAATTGAAATAAATCAGAGAGAGAAAGACAAATACTGTATGATCTCGTTTATAAACCAAAACCCAAAGCCAAACTCATGGAAAAAGAGATCAGACTTGTGGTTGAAGTCAGAGAAAGAAAGAGAGTTGAAGATGCACAGCTGGCTTTGCAGATAGGGCCACAAGCCAGAGGATGCAGGTGGTCTCTAGAAGCTGGAAAAGGCAAGGAAATCAGCTCCCTGTAGAGCTTCCGGAAGGCACGCTGTCCTGCTGACACCTTGATTTTAGGACTTCTGACCTCCCAAACTGTAAGATAATAAGTGTGTATTGTTTTAAGCCACTAAATTTGTAATTATTTGTTACAGCAATAATAAGAAACTGATAACACCTTCTAACTCCTTTTGTTTGTTTGTTCGTTTGTTTATTTATTTTTAAAATAAGCTGAGAGCATTTCTTTTTCTTTTTCTTTTTTCTTTTATTTATTTTATTTTTTTTAAAGATTTTATTTATTTATTTGACAGAGACACAGCAAGAGAGGGAATACAAGCAGGGGGAGTGGGAGAGGGAGAAGCAGGCTTCCCGCCGAGCAGGGAGCCTGATGCGGGGCTCGATCCCAGGACCTGGAATCATGACCTGAGCCGAAGGCAGACGCTTAACGACTGAGCCACCCAGGCGCCCCTGAGAGCATTTCTTTTTAAAAAATATTTTATTTATTTGACAGAGAGAGAGAGCACAAGCAGGGGGAGCGGCAGGCAGAGGGAGAGGGGGAAGCAGACTCCCCGCGGAGCAGGAAGCCTGATGAGGGGACTTGATCCCAGGACCCTGGGATCATGACCTGAGCCAAAGGCAGATGCTCAACCGACTGAGCCACCCAGGTGCCCCACCTTCTAACTCCTGATTCCACATATCTTGCTCTATTTTTTCCCATAATACTTACCTAATATACAATATAAATTACTTATTACATTTATCATTTGTTGTCTGTGTCCATCTGCTAGAATATAAGCTCCGCAGGACCAAGGATTATTTGTCTGTTTTGTTCACCACTGTATCCTTAGCTCCTAGAACAGTTTTGGCATATACTAGGGACTCAGTAAATATTTATTGAACGACTGATTGAATGAATGGGGTGAGTCAGAAACAAAGATGGGTGCAAAATTTCCTTCTGTGGAAAGCTGTACGTTCCTCTACCATTATAAAAGTTAACAAAGAAAATTTTTTGGTATTTGTATTAGTAATATATGATTCAAAAGGTACAAAGGATACACAATGGAAAGTTAATCTCCCTCCCACCTTTGCTTCTCCTTACACTAATTTCTCTCAAAGTCAATCATTAATTTAATTAATTTAATTAATTTAATTAATTTAAATGTCTTGTGTATTCTTCCAGAGAGCTTTGCATATACAAGGATATATACATATGAATATATATATTTTATCTATCTATCTATCTATCTATCTATCTATCTATCTATCTATCTATCTATCATCTATCATCTGTCGTTTTTGTCTTTAAAAAAACCCCAAATGTCAGTATATGATACATGTAGTTCTGCACCTTCCAGTAGCATTTATTAATTTAGTATCTGGGCTGGATTGCGCCTAGACAGGGAATGGATGAGATGAAACAGATGACTCCGTATTGCTAATTTTCCCCTTTGGCACTCAGGGGACAAAATGAGCTGCCCCTCATGAGGTCATCTTTTTTTTTTTTTAAAGATTTTATTTATTTATTTGAGAAAGAGAATGAGAGAGAGAGAGCATGAGAAGGGGGAGGGTCAGAGGGAGAAGCAGACACCCCGCTGAGCAGGGAGCCCGATGCGGGACTCGATCCCGGGACTCCAGGATCATGACCTGAGCCGAAGGCAGTCGCTTAACCAACTGAGCCACCCAGGCGCCCTGAGGTCATCTTTCTGAGTGGGAGATGAGGAGTTTTGCCTGAGAGGCCTTGAGCTTTTCCAGGAGTGTGCAATTTAAAATAGACACATGCATGCCCTGTATCAGGAGGGAAAGCCAAGGTGCTGACTCCGGGTACAGCTGGGATCTGAGTCTCCCCTTTGCCTGCCTATTGGAATCACCAAAATCAAATGTTAACACTTGCCGGGGGGCCTGGGTCCTCACCCCAGAACAACTGCATCGGAATCTTTGCAGATGGAACCTGGGCCTTGGTATTGTTGGTAAAATACCGCTGGTGATTGGAATCACAGCCAGGGCTGAGAACCCCTGGGTTAAGTTCTAATACACGGAAGAAAGAGCTTGGGACTGGGAATTGGGTGATGTGGTTTTGTGCTTTAAGATCTAGCTCTGTGGTCTTAGACAAGTCACATGATCTCTGGGAACCTCAGCGCCTTCTTTTCTGAGCTAGGGCCAGTAATACCCTCTGCCCTGCATAGCTCACAGGATTGTAATGGGGATCAAATGCATTAGCACCCTGGGAACTGTGAGACATTTTCCGATGGGACGGATAGTCATATCAGGTGCGTGGTCTTGGGTTACTCTGGTCGGCTTGACTCAGCCACAAGCGCTGCTTCGGTTCTGCCAGGGGCTTTCTGTTTCACCCTCAGGCAGGTCCGCATCCCATAACGGTCGCTTGCAGTCCCACATCGGGCTGTCTGGCCACCAGTCTCTCTGTTTTAGGGGCCCTAGGAAGGCTGGATTCCTTCTGACTAAATTACAGTGAGGGCCAGCCAGGGCCGTGCAGGTCTTTGTGGAGGTGGGGGTGGGACCCTCATCGGCTCTGGGGCTTCTGTGTGGTCTGAGAGAGCACATTCAGTATTACATTTACACATTTGGAAAATGGGTGCACGGGCAAGAATACCACTCTGATCGCTTTCCTAAAACAGATCTCAGGGAGTGCCTGGGTGGCTCAGTCAGTTAAGCGTCTGACTTTGGTTCTGGTCATGGTCTCAGGGTCCTGGGATGGAGCCCTGCATCGGGCTCCCTGCTTCTCCCTCTCCCCTGCCCCTGCTCATGCTCTCTTGCTATCTCTCTCTCTCAAATAAATAAAGAAAATCTTAAAAAAAAAAAAAGTTAAAACAAAACAAAACAGATCTCAGGAAGTAAAACTCAACCACTTGGTCCCAAAGCTTTGTCTCCTATAGACTCCTACCTACATAGATAGGGGAGGAGGGTGTGGAAAAAGTAGAGACAATGGGAACGAGAGGTGGGACAGGTGACTGTTGCAGTTATTCAGGGAAGGTAGGCTTCAGAGGGGTGGGAAGCCCCTCACTGGGGCGTCTTGCTTTCAGCTAGGAAGTTTTCCTCTGAGTAATAGCACCCAGGAGCCCAGAGACAGCCAGGGTCCCTGCTCACAGAAGCTCCAGGTCACTTCTTTGTAACTTGCTCAGGAAGCCGCCCTGGCTCTGTTTCCTTCACAGCCTGCAGGGCCCTGTGGTGCTGAAGACTTCCGGCCTGTCCTTCCAGGGGGCTCCCCACCAGCTTCAAGGGCTGCCTGTCCCGGCACTGTCCTCGGGGCCTCCCACAGACAAAGTGCCTCAAGTAGTGCTGTCTTTAGCTCTTCTCCACCAAGGACCCCATCGTTTTAGAGATTGCAGAGTAAACACGCTGTATTTTAGGTAAAAACTGTTTTTCATTTTAGTATATGTGCTGCCGAAGCAAGCATGAAACTGTTTTTCATTTTGATCGAAGATTCACTATCCTGGGATCTTCATGCATCACCTTTTCACTTTCCTGACTTCTCCCCGCTATGACCTTCCTTGCAGGCTCTACCCAGGCCCAGGACACTTGTCACCTGCTAGCACGCTATGTTATGTTCCTTTATCTGTCTCCTGTCACCAGAATATAAGCTCTGTGAGGATAGCAATTTTGTCTTTTTTGTTCATTGGTGTATCTCTCTTGCCTGGAAGAGTGGCTGGTACATAGTAGGTATTCAGTAAGTTTTTTTTTTTTCGAAGAAATGGATAAAAATACATACTTTTTTTCTCCTTAGATTTTACTTTTTTAGGTAATCTCTACACCTGATGTGGGCCTCGAACTCATGGCCCTGAGATTAAGAATCGCATGCTCCATGGACTGAGCCAGTCAGGTGCCCCAAAAATGCACATACTTTTGACCATTAGGCTGTGAGCTCGATGAGGTAGGGGCAATACCCACTTTGTCTACCACATAGATATTCAGCACCCTAGCATAGGGCCTGGCATAAAGTAAGTCCTTCTTGAATATTTGTTAATATGGTTGCCCGGCACACCATTTCTAGGAATTTGTTCTATAGATCTGCTCACGTATTAGTGCATATTAGTTACAGATATTAATAGCATATGAGTTAACATTAATCACAATTTTTTTTTGCAAAAACCAAACTACTGGAAACCAAGATGTTCATCATGAAAAGATCTGGGTTAGGTAAATTTGTACTCTACACACCGTAGTATTGGCAGCTGTTAATAAGAATGTACGATGTATAGATTAAATATAGTAGCCCTTCACTACCAAACAGAAGTTTTCTGTTGCTGAGACCTGAGAGAAAACCATTCTGGGGATCGTTCTGAAAATGATCCCAACGGCATTCCTATAGAGATGCAATAAGTTTTAGGTAAAATGATGTCATATTTTGTATGATGTCACTCAAACTAGATGGAGGACTAATTACTAAGGCAAGGGTCAAGAAAGACCTCGTTTCTCAAATTGGTTTGGTGACCATGACTGGACATGACACAGATCAAGCTTCTGATTCTTGGAAGCATTTGGAGTGTGGTAATTATTCTTTGTTACAGATTAAGAGAAATGTATGTGGGTGCCTGGGTGGCTCAGTTGGTTAAGCGTCTGCCTTCGGCTCAGGTCATGATCCCAGGGTCCTGGGATTGAGTCCCACATCGGGCTCCCTGCTCAGCAGGAAACCTGCTTCTCACTCTCCCTCTCCCCCTGCTTGTGTTCCTGCTCTCGCTATCTCTCTCTCTGTCAAATAAATAAATAAATAAATAATCTTTAAAAAAAAAAAAAAGAGAAAATGTATGTGATCTGGACATTCGGCTGGTCAATGGGTAGGAAAAAAGTCATTGAAATTGTTAGCAAAACAGGAGAGGTGACAGAGTGCATAATCATTGCAATTCTGTGCTTTTCCCCTCACTAGTGGACTAACAGTTTCCTTCTGGAAAATGGAATACGCATATGGATTCCAAATGGAGGTAGAAGAGATTCCACGTTCGTTCAACTGGGTGAAAAAAGCGAGGTAGGTGTATGCATAGTGATTGAGAAAGGTGTCCAGGGCATGCTGGGAGATAAAGAAAGAAGGGTTTGAGAACTCGAGCTGTAGAATAGTGTGTCCGTACAGATACAAAGTAAAATGAAATGTGTTCGTGTATGTCCAGTTTAAGAAATTATTTTACAGAGGTTACCTCTGGAGTGGGTGGGAAATATTTAATTTTATTTTCTTCTTTCCTTTTGGAATTTGTGCATGTTACTCTTACCCCTTTTTTGATTCGAAAAGACAAATTCTCATCAACCGTTCCCTCCTCTTTCTGAGAAGGTGAGTTCTCAGAAGAGAACGCAGACCTTCCCTCTGGCCAACCTCCCCTCCCCCTATACGAAACCCCTGGGGTCAGCGCTGATTTCTACCTGATCAGAGGGAGGACTCCTGGGTCAGAGCATCTATACACAGTATGGAAACAGCCAAGGAAGACACGATGTGACCTCTGAACTTTTTATTGGCCTCCTGCCCCCCAAAGGGTACCCTGCTTCTGCTGCCTCAACGCCTCAGAACTTTGGTGTCGTTGGTCTCAGACACCACCTTGCCGTCCACCATCCTGCGGGTGGTGGTCTTCTGGATGGTCTGCATGGAGCTGCTGCTGTCCAGGGCTTCACTGAGACTGTTAACAGAAGACCAAGCCCCAGTTATAAACAGCTGTGCAGAGTAGCAGGGAGTCAAGGAAAGGGAAGGCAAAACCCCCCTCCTGATCCCTGCCTTTATCTCCACATTCTTGTGACCACTTCCTCCATAAAAGGGAAACCCAGAGCCAAACTCCACGTGTGCTCTAAGTATGGCTGGGGCAAGATTTAGTCTCTTCTCTTCTCTTCTCTAGATGGGGAGTCTCTGCCACTCTTACTCCCTTGGGAGACGCAGGAACCCGCACAGAGCACCATCCCAGTGCTCTGTGGACCCCGATGAACGGCACATGGTGGGGCTTACCAAAGAGGCTTTGGGGAGAAGTGTATCTCCACCCCGGCTTGTGAGGGTGGAAGGAGGGCCCCACTTACCTGAAGTCCTCCCCGTCTTCCAGCAGGCGACGGTAGGTGGCGATCTCAGCCTCCAGCTTGACCTTGACATTGAGCAGGGCCTCGTACTCCTGGGCCTGGCGCTGCCCCTCGGCCCGGGTCTGGGACAGCTCTGACTCCAGGTGCAGCAGGACCCCATTGAGCTGCTCCATCTGCATCGCGTAGCGGGTCTCGACCTCCCTCAGGCTGTTCTCCAAGCTGGCCTTCTGTGGGGGGATGGGGGGCGGGGAGGACCGGGTGAGCCTCGAGATGGAGTGGAGGGAGAGCCTCTGCCAGTTTCAGCAGAGCAGTCCAGATCCCATCATGGCTCATCCCTTCACTCTTGGAAACTTCTTGGAGAACTTAGGGTGTGCCAGGTACTAAGGTTTTGGGTAGGAGCACCGGGTGATGCAAAGAGAAACTACTCTTTCTGAGCACATGACTTAGGATGGAAGGGGTAGGATCTGGGCTGAGACAGGATTGGGTCTGAGGCTGACAGAGTTCAGGGCCAAGAGTAGCTGGAGCAGGTGAAGTGAGGGCTCTTACCAGGTTTCTCATCGAGTCCAGGTTGATCTCTAAGGACTGGGCCGTACGTCTCAGCTCCGTGAGGGTCATCTCAGCCTCTCCTATCTCCGCGGTCTGTGTGGTGACCACTGAGGTGCTCTCCTCAATCTGCAGGGCGGGTATAGTCCTCAGGTCCCTCCTTCTCTGTCGGCTTCCCTCCCACCCCCTCAGGCCTCTGTGCCTAGCCTGGCCCCCATCCCTTCCCCTCATGCACCTGCTGGGACCAGTACTTGTCCAGCTCCTCTCGGTTCTTCTGAGCCAGCTCGTCATACTGGGCCCGGATGTTTGCCATAATCTTGCTGAGGTCCTGAGATTTGGGGGCATCCAACTCCACGGTCAACCCAGAGTTGGCAATTTGGTTTTGTAGACCCTTTACTTCCTAAGGGAGAGAGGAGCAGAGTGAGGGGAGACTCGGGCTCAGAGCTCCAACAAAGCTCCTCCTCTGCACCTGGCTCTCGCAGGAGGCCTGGGGATCAGCTGGAGAAAGCCACGGAGAAGACTCTAGGTTTTATACTCTGGGCAATGCCAGTTCTGGGTTTTCTACTCCCGATGAATAAAACGTCACCCACTCCCTGCCCAAACCTATCACCCACAGGTGGTTTCTCTCTCCTCACTTCGCTCTGTCCCTCCGTCTCTCCGCCCTCCAGCTCCACCTGCTCTCACTCCTCCATCAGCCCTCACACGTGGTGCTAGCTGCTTTTCTCTTTTGTCCTCTCCTCACTTTCTCACCCATGTCCTCTTGACCCCATCACGCTGTAATTCAGGTGACCCACTGAGTGTGGCAGCAGTCTGGTTAAGAAGAGCCCAGTCTGGTAGTTCTAAGTGTCCCTACAAGCTACTTCCAGGTGGCCTGTCCCGTCTATTCCCCCCACCCAGACTTGTTTGGCCTCCTTGTTCCTGGCCTGGCCAGTGGCCCCTGCTTGCCTCCTCATGGTTCTTCTTCATGAAGAGCAGCTCCTCCTTGAGAGCCTCAATCTCTGTCTCCAGCTGCAGCCGAGTGACATTGGTGTCGTCAATGACCTTGCGGAGCCCATGGATGTCACTCTCCACAGACTGACGCATGGCCAGCTCTGTTTCATACCTGTGGGAGTAGAGGCAATCAGAGGGACCTCATCTCTGACCTGGGACCTTCTCAGCCCATGCCACCTAAGAGCGCCCCCACGGCCACAGCAAACCAGCACCCGGAGTCAGGATCAGGTGGTAATCCTCTGAGCACCGTTCTCAGTACTTGGGGGACAATATTCTTAAACTGGGTTATATCAGTTTATAAGTTGAGGGAGCCTAACTCTTATCCACCCAGCTCTGACCAGAGCTGAAGATCCCACTGTGAGCCCCCACCTGACCGACCCAGCCAGGAACAGATGGTGCTTGGCTCCACCCTCAGCTCCCTAGCACCCCCCAGGCTTACTTGACTCTGAAGTCGTCAGCAGCAAGACGGGCGTTGTCAATCTGCAGGACGATGCGGGCATTGTCCACAGAACTTGCAAAGATCTGGGGGATTGTAGACAGGTGGCTCCATGAACGGGAAATCAGTGATGGAGTGTGGTGAGTGTGGGAAGGTGTTGTGTGTATGAGTGAAGCCTTTCTGGTCCCAAAGAGGTTCTCCTTGCACGCCTACCCCCTTCCACCTGTGCCCCCTCACACTGTTCCCTCCTTTCCTGGAGTCTCAAATTCCAGAGTTCCCACCGCCCCTTCTTTGGGGCCTCTGCTGGCCCGCCTGCCCTGAAGTGAGTCAGTCCTCTCCCTGGCCCTCTCCTGACATTTTTTTTTTCCTCCTGCACCTGCTCACCTCCCCTTTGTTCCCCCCATTGGCCCCTCCCACAGGTAGCCCTCCTGTTTACTCTTAGATGACTCAGCCTTAGCCACATCCGCTTAACCCTCCAATTGTCCTGATTTGACCAGAAGCCAGAGTGTCCAGGTCCTCTTTATGGGGTCTTGTCACACCTTCCATGCTGTCTACTTCCTCTGCACCCCCCCCCCCACTTCCCGCCATTTCCTGGGAAAAGGCCCTCCCATGCCCGGTCACCGCCCTTGGGGCCCCTGTGGCCTGGGGTATGCATGAAAATCCAGGCCATGGCAACCCCCTCCCTGTGGAATAGGGGGCAGGGTGGAGATAGAAAGCGGGAAGGAGCCAAGGCACCCCACCCTATTAAAATTCCTATCCTTGGGGGAGGGGGAGGAGGAAGCGGGGAGTGGGTAACAGGGAGGTCAAACACGGCTGGGGATCAGGGTGGTCCCCTTACCTGAGCCCTCAGCTCCTCGATGGTCTTGAAGTAATGCCCCCAGTCTCTGACCTGGGGTCCCTTCTTCTCCAGGTGTTCCCGGATTCTCATCTCCAGTTTCTGATTATCAGCCTCCAGACTCCTCACCCTCTCCAGGTAGGAGGCCAGGCGGTCGTTCAGGTCTTGCATGGTCTCCTTCTCGCCCTGGATGCCCCCTATGCCGGCCAGACCCCCGGCCATCCCCGCGGCCAGGCCCCCGGACCCCCAGCCGCCCCGGAAGCTGGTGGAGCGGGATACGGAGATCCGGGAGCCTGAGCCCCCGGCGCCTGCATAGACGCTGGCCGCGCTGCTGACCGGCGGGACCCGGTGGCTGGGCGACTGCACGGGGCCCAGGGACCGATAGTTGGAAGAGAAGGTGGAGTGGGTGGTGAAGCTCATGCTGTTCGGAGAGTAAGACCAGAGGCCAGGACTCAGGCTCGGGCCAGGAAGGGTGCCAGGTCCGCGACTGAAGTTATATCGCGCCGAGGGAGGGGGTGGGGACCGGCCCAGGGAGGCCCCGCCCCCGCCACCAAGTCCCCGCGCTCAAGGTTGGGCCACAGGTGGACCGAGGCGGGAATTCGCGTCTCGTTCCCGGGCCTCCCCAGCCTCCCTCCCCCCAGCACCCCCAGCAGCTTCCTGCCAAGGCCACCCTCGACCCCCCCAGAAAGGGGGTGAGTAACCTGGATGGACCAAGGCAGCAGGTGGAGTCGGCCCTTGAAGTGTAGTTTCGGAGCAGGAAATGACGTTGTTATGCCCCCCTCCCCTCAGGTAGAGGAGGTCCTGGCAGGTTGGAATTTGGGGGTTTTGGGAGATGAGTGAGTGAAGTCCGGTGTGAATCTCTGTAATTATCCTCAACCTACAGCCCAAGTTTCCACCAACGGAGAGGATCTTGGGTGGGGGGGATCCTAGAGTCCCAGGAGGTCCCAGGAGTCCTGGGGAAGAAAAGTTTGGGGCTGGAGAAGAAGAGTAGCTCAACCCTGAGCCTCAAATCTGCTGGTTTACACACCCGACCTCCCCCCCCACACACTTGGTTCCAAACGTACCCATGTGCACATGTTCACTAGCACAAACTCACGCCCACCTCATATAGATGTGTATTGTCAAATACCCACAAACACATTCACTCACCAAGTATGTTCAGACTCCTGAAAACAAACTGATTCTCTGAACGCCCTCCCTCTTGCTCTTCTCCCCTCCACTCACTCCCATGGAAGCCTGCCCTCAGCGGGACACTTTGTGATTTCAACAGGGGACACTCTTCACTTCTAAACACCCGTGTGTCAGCCTTACTTACACCCTTGGGTAAACAGATACTTCCTGAGCACTTCACAGTTCAACAGATATTTGCTGGGCACCGACTGCGTGTCAGATCCCGCTTGAGTTGCTGCTGGGAGAACAGCGGTGACTAGCAAGAGACTGAAATCCCTCACACAGACTGCGACGTGTCCCACACGGTGCAGGGTCTGAGGCGACAGCCATGTACGCCTAGAAATATTCCAGCTGAGACTCAGCCCTTCTGGCCAGCCCCGTCCCCATCCTTCCTAGGATTTTTCTGCAGGTCCCCGCCTTCCCCTGCCTCTCCTCCAAAAGCTCTCTGGATCTCAAGCTGGTCCCCAGGGAGCTGCCTCCTCCAGGAAGCTCACATCAGGACGTCGGTAAGAAGGATGGAAGTAAAAAAGTTCCCACTGCTCCCTGCACCTCTGAGGCTGATGGCCACCCCCTGCTGAATGAACTGGGGAATCCTGAGGTACAGGGCCTTCCAGTCTGTCACCACGAGCAGCTTGTTCGGCAGGGCCTGGCCTTATACACTTGTTGGTGCTCTTTGCTCTGGAGTGGGCCTATTGATTCTTATCGAGCTGCCAGCTGAACCGAAGAGATGGGGGCAGACATGAGAGCCGGCCTGGGAAAGGAGGGGGTAGAGCTGGGCCAGTGGACCCACCGGAAGGAGGCACAGCTCAGACGTGGGGCTTGGCCCTGGAGTCTCCCAGGCCCCCCACCTTCTGCTGGGGAAAGCCTCACAGTGCTCAGTGGGGGCTGGCCAGGGGCAAATCAGGCCCTGCTGAAGGCCAAAAGGCAAATGGATGCAAAATAGCAGGCAAATAAGTGCCGCTCCATTTGCATGGCAGGAGAGGTGCCCGCCCGTCAAAAGGGTTTCTCCCGCTTTCACCTTCACGTTCCCCTGCGG